ATTGCGGCGTCATCATTCACACGGACCTCGCAACGCGCGATCTCATCCTCACCTATGCTCCCCCGGACACTCCTCCTGAAGAATTCAAGTACCTCGGACAAGCTCGCTCCATCAATGGGATCTATATCCTGGACTTCGACATACCTTCCTGTCAAGCATCGTCGGACGAACTCGTAGACCTTGTCCCCCTCGAGTTCGCCTTCATGAACAAGAAGTCTTGGGAGCATCCGGATGGAAGACCGTGGATTCGCCGAAGCCCTCACCCGCGTGAAATCAATCTTCACGAGCCCGACGCCCACGGACTGTGCACCACCTGACACATACCAACCGCAAGCCGAACGGAGCAAGTGGAGAAGGAGCAAGCGGCAATTCAGGAAGCAGAAAGCGCTAAGACAAGACCAACAGGCATGACTGAAGAAGAACTTGCCATATCATCTCACCGCATATTCGGTGAGCCAAGCGGGAAATTCGGCCAAGAACAGCAGGCGAGACCACGACCTTACTCGGACACCCTACGATTCGTCCTCGAAGCCAACACGCACACCTTCGACGAAGAAGGACGTCCGCGCCCATACACTCGAGAAGTCTACCGCCGCGAAATTGACCCTGCTTGGAAAGACCCTGATGCACCGGAGGAACTGAGCGTCAAAGAAGAACAGGAGAAGGCCCAAGCCAAAAAGCGGTAGAAGCTGTATGAGGAGCGCATCGCGGCAGGATGGGACCCAAACTCTGCGCGCGAGGGATGGGGCAACGAGCCCGCCGATCCAGAAGAAGGCGCAACCTGGGGTTCCACAACGGGAGCATGGGGAACTGGCACGGTCACCAGGGGAGGATGGGGAAACAACGAGTCTGACGAAGGAGTGCTCACGCAAGAAGAATTGGAGGAAGCTGCACAAGAAATGCAAGCTGAGCGCGGCAAAGCATCACCTCGAGTAACCATTCCCCTCGGTCGACCCCCTCGCACTGCCGAACCACCTTGCTCACCACATCACTGGCGTGATCACTGGTCGGAGATTGAGAGGGGGAATGTATAGCCAACACCTCCGCGAGACTCACTCGGACCAATCTCCCGCCCAGATCCGTATGCCCGCTTCATCGAAGGCACCACGACCTCGCTCACGATCATTCCTGATTGCGAATTTCTCGCCTTGTATCTCTCAACGACACCTGCAAAAAGGGAAGCAACGGCAGAAGCAGAAGGAGAGGAGGAGAACAACGAAGCAGAACCAGGAGAAGAGGAAAAACCTCCACTCCAGATCCCAGAACTCACAGCGGAGGAGGCAGCAGAGTACCATACCCGCTACAAGCGCACCTCCGGCATTCATGCCGAGGATGATCTCTGGCACCAGCGGATGGGACACCCCTCGCGCCAGACACTTGCCAATTGCCTCCGTGCAAAAGATTTTCCGCCAGGAGCACTGCTACGCCCCGACGGGACGGAGTTACAACACTCCCCTTGTCCAACCACTTGCATTGTCTGCCCCACAGCCGCACTCTCTCACACTGCCTATCCCTCTCTAGAGCCAAGCACCAACCGCTGCAAGAAATTGGAAAAGGTATACAGTGACTTCATCGTACTCACCTACGACGGACCCAACGGCGAGAAGTACACGCTGACCTTCATCGACGCCTACTCACGCCACGTGTGGGTTGCCAATGTTGACGCCCGCTCCAAAGCCCCGGAGGTGTTCAGTATCTTCCTCGCGCACGCGCAGCGACAGTCGGGAAGGAAACTCAAGATCTGGCAGAGTGATGGGGCAAAAGAATTTCGCAGCAATGAACTAGAGAGCGTGCTCACCGAGAAGGGGATCAAGCATGAGATTTCCCTTCCCTATGCTCACCAACAGCAAGGCGTTGCTGAGCGGGTCAATCGGACCCTCATGACTAAAGTTCGTGCCATCATGAACCAGTCCGGCCTGCCAAAGAAATTTTGGCCGTACGCCATGAATCACGCGGTACGCCTGCACAACCTCCTCTCCACCACCGTCAACAGGGATAACCTGTCACCCCACATGAAGTGGACCGGTTCAAGGGGAGATCCCTCCATGCTGAGGGTTTGGGGGTGCATGGTGCAGTATCGGCCCACTTCGGCTACAATCGGCAAATTCATTCATCGTGCGCGCTGGGGAGTTCATCTAGGACTCAGCCACGAGCACAAAGGATGACTCATCCTTGACATGGACAACCAGGAAGTTGTCCCTGCGCGTGACATCCTCTTCTACGAACGGCTCACCTTGAGGCAGTGGATCGAGGACGAATGCCGCAACCAGGCACGCGGCTACGCCAACAGCGGCCGCAGCTTCGCGACCCCTGAAGATGAAGCAGCAGCAACAGCTCTGGACCGCGACGACACCGACGAACACCCCAGCATCCCCCCTCGCCCGCGCGATGAAGATGATGATGACAGCGACGACGACTCCACGCCAGGACCATCACGGCGCCAGACAGAACCAAGTACCGCACCACCCGGCTACAAGAGCGGAGATGACGACGTGGTTGAAGTCCCCACCAATGCAGACACCACCAACGTGTCAGGCCTTCAACTTCTTGGCCTGCACACGTCCGTTTCTACTCTCGCGCGGACCGTGGAACCTAAGAACCCTCACCAGGCCCTAACCAATCCTCTTGCCAAGGAGTGGCATACTGCGATGGATGCGGAACTGAAAGCACTGGAATCGCGCGACACTTGGGTCTTAGTCGATTGTGCAGCAGTGAAGGGGAGGAGGGTGCTCAGTGGGAAATGGGTCTTTCGTCTCAAAACTAACGCTGACGGTACTGTTGAGCGCTTCAAAGCACGATGGGTCGTACGCGGGTACGACAGCGTCGCGGCATAGACTTCGATCAGACCTTCGCTCCCGTCAGTCTCCATACCTCGGTTCGGATTCTACTCGCTATTGCCGCCGCGAAGCACCTACCACTGCGACAGATCGACGTGAAGAACGCGTTTCTATAATCGATGTGGATGCTACCATCTTTGTGGAGCAGCCGTACACGTACGGAGAAGGTGATCCCAGGGCCTGTCAACTGAAGAAGTCGACATCACCATCAACCCCGAAGTAAAACAGTTTTGGGGGTTAAATATCACTTACGTGCCAGAAACAATTCATCTGTCAGCCTCCAAGTACGCAGAGCAACTGGGGGAACGCTTCAACATCTCACCCGCACCACTCTCAACTCCCTACCGCAGCCCGAGCACCAACTACAAACCGGACAACAAACCCCTGTCGCGCGCAGGACTACAAATGTACCAACAGAAGTTGGGGTGCCTGCTATTCGCCTCTGTCACCTGCCGACCTGACCTTTCGTACATCGCTAGCCAACTGGCGCAGTACTCTCGCAAGCCAGTAGCTGAGAACCAGCTGGACCTGGAGCGCGCCCTGAAGTACTTCATCTCCACACCTGACATCGGGCTCTCCTACTCCACGCTGACGACGACCTCCTTCAACCTCAACGGCTACGTGGACGCAGACCACGCAGCTTATCCCGCAAATCGACGGTCCCGAACCAGCTTCGTTTTTCGCCTGGAACCAAGTGGTCCAATCTCCTGGAACTCCCAAAAGCATGAGCTGGTTGCCCTGTCGTCGGCTGAAGCAGAATACATCGCCGCGACAGCAGCAGTTCGCGAAAATTCCAACCTCGCCCACTTTTCGACTTCACTGCGACAACCAAAGTGCCATAACAATCGCGAATAAGCCAGGATTCGTGAACCGCACGAAGCACATCGCACTTCGGTACTTTTTTCGTCAAGGTCGAAATCGACCAAGACAAAGTGGACCTCGCTTACTGCCCGACCACTGAGATGGCAGCAGACTTCCTCACCAAGCGCCTGCCACGTAAGCAGTATAAGCACTGCTCTGACCTTACCGGAGTAGTCAAGCGAGTCAGCTCCACCCGCGCCGAGGAATGAAGGGGAGTGTTACGATGCGAAGTTTTATGAGAAGGCATTCCTGTATGCTGCAGGAGCCGACTCTACCGAGTACGAAGCTGAGGAGTCAGAAGAGCCGAAACAACGCACCAACCGTCAGATCAAGACCGATGCAGGCAGAAACACTTACAGTGAAAAGAGCGGGAACTGTTTTTGAACGGGTTCCCGCGCCGCATGGTTTTTGAAATTCAGTTGCGAATAGGGAATGTACCCCTTAGAGTACATGGCTGGTCTAGGTCCTTTCGTATTCCCTTAGTACTCTTATATAAACTCGATGTATGCATGCTATCATCAACTCAGCCATTTTACATCCACTCTGACCTGAGATTCACACTTCCGCTGCAACTACTCCGCGATCAACCCTAAGCGATCCTTCGCTAAGTCCCACTTGGGATTGTAACAGAGACAACACACACGGAATTATTGACAGGGACGCGCACGTCCCCGCCAGCGCGCCTTCCCCCAGTTCCAATGTTCCTTCCCGACAACTCCTCCACCTCCCAACACCTTCATGTTCATTCTCTGACCAATCACAGACGTTCGCATATAATTGTCGCGCGTGTGTACAGAGTCGCAATACATCGATCGATTGGGACATGCAAACTCGAGACATTTGAGCGCGACTCGGGCAGATCGTGATTGGGACACATCGATTGGGACATGGTCCACAGCGGAATGCACCCTAAAGCTTTTCCCACCCACCCACCTAACACTACCCTGGGAGTTCAATTGAGAGGCAGCAAGGGTGGTGCAGTTTGTACAAGGTACAGTTGGGGTTGAACATGATATGCCACTTGTGTTGATGAACCTCTGGGAATTACGGTACATTGAAGGTTGGAGTGTCAGTGACGGGTTTAGTAGGAACTAGCATACAACTGCATGACAGCACGTATATTCCCTACATGGGCACAGGCCCTTAGGCATACTGAATAATAATAAGGATCTTTCCTGCATCCATCCCCAGTCCCATCCCTCTTCCCCACCTCAAACCCATCCCATCAACCCAAATGGCCACCTCATAACCTGCCAAAACCACATCTCATTTAAAATCCCCCCCCCCCCCCTCTCATCGCGTTCAGATGAGCGCCTCGAGAGGCTTGCCATCGTCAAAGCAACCTATCAGCCCCGCCAGGAACTCCGCATCCGCCAATGTGTCCGCATCCTTCATCCCCATCCCCTTCGCGCCCGCCATCCCCGCGCCATCCGCGCGCGCCCGCGCCAACCCTTCATTGGCTCCGTGCGCCACCACCGCCGCGTCCGCCGCGACTCCCTCTGCGTGCGACGGAGGTGCGGTCGCGCCCGTGATCGCACTGGGCGAGTGCACGCCTTCCTCTTCCGACTCCTCAAAACTCGTCGACGCCAATAATCTCGCGCGCTTGTTCCCGGCGCCTTCCGCAAAAGGCTCCGCCACCTCTAGCTTCCCCGTCTGGCCAACCTTGAGCGCGAAGTCCGCGCTCATCCCCGCATCCGCCGCCGCGTCAGCCGGTTTGTTCGCAACGGGAACGCCGGCGCGAGCGAGCGCGTCGCGTAGCCGCTTGAGTTCGTTCTGCAGGCGGTCGTTGCTCTCTTGGTATTGCCGAATGTGCTCAGACGCCTCGTTCAAGCGCCGCGTGACGGCCGCGTTCTCAACGCGCAGCTTGGCGCTCTGGATCTCCAGCTCCTCGAGTCGCTCCTGCTTCCGCTGCCGAGACCGCTTCGCTGACGCGCGGTTCGACATCATCCTGCGACGAAGGAAACAGGCAACGGAGAAGCATGGAAGACAGAAAAACCCGTTGATGGACAACGCTGTAACTGGAGCGCACTAATGGACATATCATAATGAAGATATGACATGACAACAACGTATATTTCCTCCGGCGCCTCACCTCTTATGTTTCTTCGGGTCAAGGTCTGCGAGCTCCTCCGCGGTCATGCCGTCCGTGCTCATCGCGCCCATGTCGCCCGCGTGGAACTCCATCTCCTGTGGCAGCCCGCACGGGATGCCCTGCGCCATGCCCTGCGACATGTACCCCAGCGGGCCCTTGGTCGCCAGAATCGGAGCCGGCGCCGACATGCCGTGCGCGGCGTGCGGCGGCCAGCTCATCGGGAACATCTGCTGCGCGGACGGCGTGTGCGCGGTCGGGGGTTGCATTTGCGGAGGTTTGGGGAGGGCGGGTTGGGCGGGCTGCGGGAGGAGCCACTGCGCTTGAAGCGGTTGGCGGGTTTGAATGGCGGTCATTTGCGATGGGTCTGCTGACATCATACCGTACATTCCGGCGTTACCGCCGAATAACCTGAATCAGGGAGAACGAGGGGAGAGGGGACGGACTAAGCGTTTACTGCCAAGTACTGCGACACGAAGCTGGGGCTTCTTGGCGAGGTTCAAAGCAGGGCGACAGGCGACGATAATAAATCGTGACTTATAGAGAGACCTGTAACTGCCAGCGCGTATCGCTTACCGGCCGCCAGGAGCAGTCATCGGATTCCAGTTCCATGCACCGCCGTACGCAGCAGCGGCATCATCAATTTGTTGCGCACGCCACCTGGCGTCGAGTTCTTCCTCCGCCTCGGACTGAGCCGCGCCGGGAACTACATCAGGGGGGCGACACATGGTGGCTGACCGTAAACGCCGGCAAAGATGGAAACGGCGGGACAGACGCGGCCTTACGAATGCCCTAGAGGTTCAACCTGTACTATGATACTAAGATCTTAGTCAGACTCTTCCTGACTTGTTGGAGTAATGACTAGGCGATGCGATTGAACACTGGACCAACAGGACGAAAGTAGAAGATTCAGTGGTGAGAGTTGAAGGCAAGGCAAAGTATATCCAGCAAAGCAGCCAGCGATTGTGAAAACAAGACAGCGATGCAGAGGGAGCCGTGGGAAATGTAGGACGAGGTGGGGTTGAGGCCGAGAGGAAAGCCAAGAAAGGCGAGGGACGTGGAGGAAACTGAGGGCTCAGCGCAAGCTTGCGAGGCACGCGTGTGGGGGGAGGCTGGGTTGGGGAGGGCTGCGGGGAACAAACAGAAGGAAAACTGTAGGCGGAACATGAGGTCCAGTGGGGGGAAGGTGCGGTTGGGTGGGTGGGGTGGGGAGTAAACTCGGGGAAGGGAAGGGTCACGGGGGAGAGGGGACCACTTTTGGGGCGAAAGGGAAGAGGGAGAGCGGGGTGTGCAGTACATCAATTTGTCAGCTCTCCAATCCACGACCGCGTGCGCGCGTGGCGTGGGTTCAACATGTGCGCAGTGCATCCCCAACTGGGTCGGAAAATGACATGGAAATTGCCTGCAGTCACCGGCAGTGCTGACGCGCGTGGCATGATGAAATTGCCAGCAGCACAGCCTAGTCCTTCAGGGAAGCGGGCGCCCTCATCGAGACAGCCTGGCGCGCGACGGACCAGTCTCAGGAGGACGCGCAATCTGCCGCCTTGCCTTCGGGCTGTTTTGAAGATCCTATCGCCACTGGCACATCACTTTGGCGAATCTAAGCTCTGGCTTAGTGTCTGAATGTTTCAGGTACAAAAAAAACTCACAGTTTCAACTCGTACACATGATGCCCAGCCACTGCGCGCGAATTTGCCTTGTACATTTCAGAAACTCTGCACCCGTGTTTTTTTTTCAGACTCAGCTGCACCCAGGTTTTAGGCACGCGGATCAACTTGCATTTGGGCGAGGAAACGCAAAAGTATGAATCTTAGGCGCAAAACAAACCATGCTGACCCGGTAGGTTCTTGTTTCTTGGCCAGAAACAAGCATAAACCCAAAACCCTGAACTGACAGCAACACAGGCCCACCAGCACTGTTTTGGAAAAAACAATCGCGTTACACCCAGTGTCTTTTAGAAGCACCTCAACACCCTGACAAACTGGAACGAACTAGGCGATATGCCTAAAACGTTTAAGAGCCCAGAGCACAACCCAAGTACGGGGGACTCAAACGGATCAGGTGTAGTGTAAAAACTGTACTGTGGTTGACACCCAAACGGTTTGTGTTCCGTTTTCTGAAACACGTGCCAGGGAAGCACGCATCCAAGTTCAAAGGAATAGTGGACCTACGGTCTGTCGAAGTGTGTTCCATAAATCACGTGGATTCAGAGAGCTGCTCAGAGATTCTTATCCGAGGTGCTAGCTAAAAATTCATGGCTTATTCCGATTGGTTGTGATCGTGACGTGGATATGTGCGCTGGAAAAGCACCGTCACATTATGATGACGCTTGTCTGTGCACCAACGATATGTCCAACCAGAATAACCAGCCAGCGGGATTGACAGGCGCTGAACCTGTGCCCCCAAATTGTTAGGGCGAGTTTGATCCGAAGAAGGTCACACGTAGAAATTTTGAAGTTTGAGACAGTCACCCTGGCTCCAGCTAGCAACTACCGAAATGAGACTGCAACTGGCCATGGGGAGCATTTCGGATGACCCCTCGATTTCAGAAAAAAACGGATTTATGTACTCAAAAGATGAACCGCTGATCACGATAAACCTCGCTAAAGCCATTCTCACTGTGAATGATCGTGATACAGTGTTCTGGGTATCCCAATGAGCAAATGTATACGTGAGCTTCAGCCCAAAAAATATTATTGTCAATGGTTTGTTCAGGCCTTTTAGACTGACGTGTATTCTGGTCCAGAAGCTCTTTAGCGGAGATGATCCAATGTGTCTCCACAGGCTTGGTAGTTTTCTGTACATTCCCTGTCAGACTGACGCTACTACTTGATTAGTGGCACATGGTATCATTATCGGCAGGTTGCGGAACGAGCATGCGTGAAATAGACGTGGGGTAGCTAAAGCTCCGACGAAGGAGAATGGCGTCATTGAATCATTGGGGGTTCGATGTGCCATGGCTGTCAGACAACACAGATTCACCCATGGAATCAAGCACAGCTTGCGAGAGCCACGTCAACGACTTCCTTCAACACGCGAATGCTCGCTGCATTCCGTCCGAGCAGCCCGAATCGGCTCCTTGGATCAATCTGTCTAGTCATGAACGTCCGATACCACCACATTCATCGGCGAGCCTTTTTGACATGGAGTCAATACACGATCTTCCGGATGATACTTATGGAGAGCCAAGGCGCGTTTCGCTGGATGATTCTTATGGTGATCTTATAAAGAGGATAAACTGGACGTTTGGTTCTGGAACGGATCGCTGCGACCCTCCCAGGAGTAACAGGATGACGGATTGGATGCTGAGCGCGCTGACGCCGAATCCCGTCGTGACATCTGGAATCGCGGAAAAGATGCAGGCGATGTCCACGTGGCAGGCCGCTCCGGGAATCTTGGATTTAGAATCGAAGATGCGGCAGGAGTGGGGGTACTGTTTGCCATCCACCAGGCCAGTCGCTCTCACCGACCTGTACCCTTCTCCGTGCATTATTACCGAATCCAACGACTACGCATACCTAGGAGCCAGTTTTGAGTCGTCTCAAAGCTCGCAGATAGAAGCCACGGATCGCGTGTTGGAATTCGGGAATCTCGGCTCGTGGAAGGGGAATCAGGCTCGGGAAGGATTGGGTGAGGGCGAAAGAGAGTGGATCAGCGGCCGGGATATGCCACCAGGGTCGAGGGACGATGGGATTGGACGAGGCGGCCGCGTGGCTGCTCGCTGTGCAGACAGCGCAGATGATGTGGCGATGGCAGGAGGCGGGAGCAGCTGCAGCAAGGTGGGGTCTCTATGCTGGAATGATTCACACACTACCTGCTCCACGTCTGCCGTCACAAGATGCTGCAGTGGCATTGCAACACGCCTCGTATTCCACCTCACCTCTTTACTGCCATTGCTTAGCGCAATCGCTCTCATCCCTCCCGATTCCACTTCACTCCCCATCTTCTTCCCCTCCCTCTCTCCCGCGCATCCCCCCCTTCTTTCCGCCTGCCAGCACCCGCACGCCCTCGCCCTCGTGGCGGCGTGCGCTCTCAGGGGGCAGCCCGCCGCCCTGTACGTCCTCCACGCCTTCGCCCTCCGCGCCCGCACCGCTGCACCCTCTGCTCTCGCTGCTCCCACTGCTCCCACCAGCTCGCAGAAGAGAGATCCTGCAGCGGCAGCTGCAACAGCAAGAGTGGCGCAGGCGGTCGCGAGGCAGGGGATTGAACGGGCAGTGCTGGGGGAGGTAGTGGCGGATGGGCACGTGTGCCGCAGACTGCACTGCCTCGCTGCGAGGCTGCAGGCTGCTGCTCCTGCTGCTGGCGACGCAGCAGCTGCGGAATGGGGCGTGCCACGTGTGCCTGCTGACGTGGAATGCCAGCTGGCAAGTGTGCTGTGCCCGTTGGCTGCGTGCAGGATGGTGCAGCAGGCGGCAGATGCAGGCAGTGCAGGTGGTAACGCATGTGGCGACGCTGCTGGCGGTGTTGTTGGCAGCGATGGGGAGGAGGGTTCGGACTGGGATTCAGAGAGTGGGGAAGTGTGGATGGGGTGGACGGGCGGGGAGAGTGACGACGACGAGAGTGAAGGGGGCGAGGAAGGGGGAGAGCGTGCAGAGAGTGCATTGCTTAAGAGCAGCAGTCAACACCCCCTTCCCCCTCCTCAACACCCGCATGATCATGCCACTCCCAGGTCTCAGCGTGAAGAACCAAAGATAGAGGGTCTCGCAGTGGGAGCTGGAGGGGCCGGTGCAGAGGGAGATGACGCGGTTCTGAGGGGTTTTGGGAGGGCGCTATCGCTGGTTCTCGCTCAGTACGAGGCCGGGGTTGCCCAGCTCGCCCGTGCATGCATCGCCTCTCTTTCTGCCTCATCTCCAACAGCAGCAACAGATTGTTCCAGCCCTGCACGCTCACAAGCAGGCACTCCAGCCGGTCCGTCAGATGCTGTGCTTCTACTGGCCATGCGGAGCAGGCGACTGAGGGCGCAGCTGAGGCGCCTGGTGATGTTGCTGGGGATGGATCCGAGAGCGAGGGAGACAGCAGGTGGTGAGAGGAAGGGGCACCCATGGGAGGACGGGGCGCTAAGGGGGAGGGAGACAGCAGGGGGAAAGATGGAGGATGCATGGTCGGTGGTGTACCAGTGCCCTCAGATGGTCATGCCTAGCTCGTCAGATCAAAGCAGTTCAGGCATGAGAGACATGCCTCTCACTCCACCCCCTCCACACACGTCCCACACGCACCACATGCACTGCACGCCCCACACGCACCACGCAGACCGTGCTGTTGCTGCCAGCGGTGGCATTAGAGGCGTGCGCCCCACCACCACCCACAGCAGCCAAGCCGCCGCTCTCCTCTCTTACCTCCACACCATGCTCCACCTCGCAGCAGCTGATAGCAGCAGCGGCAGCACTGCCAGTGCATGTGGTTTGAGTCAGAAGCAGCCGCACCAGCAGCAGCAGCGGGAGCAGCAGCAGCAACGGCAGCACCAGCAGCGGCGGCGGCAGCAGGGGCGGCAGGGAGGTGAAACTTCAATGGAGGTGGTGAGGTGGTTGTATGTGTCGTCGTGCTGGCCGCTGGTGTGCCAGCTGAGGAGCACCATGGCTCTGGGTGATCTCTCCTACCTGCATCCCTCCCTCGCTGCTGCTGCTGCTGCCACTGCTGCTACTGGGAGTGCTTCTGCTGCTGGGACTGCTAATCCTGCCACCAACGTCACCACCGCCACCACCGCCATCACTCGTACCCCTGCTACCTCTGCTGGACAGTTCACTCCTACTCGCATCGTCACTCCTCCCCGCATGGTTACCCCATCTCATCTGGTCACCCCATCCCATCTGGTTACCCCATCGCACTCGATCACCCCTTCACAGTTCGACACACCTCGGTTCCTGTCCAACCAGGCAGCAGCAGTCGGCGAGGCGTGGAGTGCGGCACTCTTCCTTCGTCCCAGCAAGGTGCATCTTTAACTTAACCAAGCTATCAATCAAAAGCAGTGGACTTGTTTTTTTCTCTCCCTTTTCTGTTTTTTTTTTCGTTTTCTTGGAGCTCATGATTTTGCTTGGCCAGCAACCAACCAAGGTCAACTCTGCATGCATGTTGACCTGTTAGACTCTGCACGCATTGAGAATGGTTCTTTTACCCTTGCTGACTACAGTCTCTGTCGCAAAGCTCCATGTCAACTGTGCCCTTTGCCTGTTCCCTCTTCCTGTGCCCTGTGCCTCCCCTTTCTACCCATGCCTTTCGACCCTCGCCCCTGTCTCCCCCCCCCCCTTCCCTTCCCCCACAACACCAGATCAACCACCTGCTGCCCTTGTTCCTCCATCCAGTGTCACGCCTCGTTGTAAGAACAGCACAGCAGCAGCACATACTCCTCTCCGCCCCCGACCCCACCATTCGCCAGCTCGCCTCCCGCCTCTCCTCCCTCCTCTCCGCCCTCCTCCTCCCCCACTCACACCCCTTCCTCTCTCTGCCAACCAATGGAAATAAGCCAAGTCACATTCAAACAGCGCTCGCGTCTGATTGGTCCATCGATTTCACCCTGGCAGGGGTGGCCCGAACCAGAGAGATCGTCCAGCACCGACTTGCCATTGCTGAGCTGCAGGTTCGGCAGCTTCTAGACTCCCTGGAGCCCCAGTCTAGTGCAGAAGGCGAGGCTCGGATGGCTGATGTGGGTGATAGAGTGGAGGTGCAGAGACAGTTAGGGTTGGGACAACAGTTGCTGCCTGCAGGGGCTGTAGCGGATGTGGGGAATGGATCAGTTGTAGCAGCAGCAGAAAGAGCAGGAATGGGAGCAGCAGTGACAGTAACAGGCATGGGGTCATCTGTAGCAGATGTAGCTTCAGGCGGTTTGCTAGCTGCAGAAGCAGTAGCAGAAGCATCAGCAGAAGCGGGAGCAATAGTAGCACCACCGCTGCCACCACTGCGCCCCCCTCCTGGTGTTGTCAGGCCTGCACCCACCCACAGAGAAATCGCGGGACAAGCATTGGGGAGGGAGGAAGAGGAGCAGGGAAGAGGGCACGGGGGAAAGGAGCAGGGAAGAGGGCATGGGGGAAAGGAGCAGGGAAGTGGGCATGTGGGAGAGGAGCAGGGAAGAGGGCACGGGGGAAAGGAGCAGGGAAGAGGGCATGGGGGAAAGGAGCAGGGAAGTGGGCATGTGGGAGAGGAGCAGGGAAGGGAGCAGATCTGCTCTGGCTGTGGCTGGTCGCATGACCCCTCCTGGCACGTGCCTGGTGATGACGTGGCAGCAGATGATTGGCCCTGGAAGGGCACTCATCCCCCTCCTCTTTCCAATCTGCTTGTCTCCCCCAACCGCACCACACCCAGCCATACTGCACCGAATCCCACCGGCCTCAGCCCCACGTTGCGGCAGGCATGGGTGGAGTGCGGTGCCATGCTGCAGCTCACTGACCCCCGCTCTGGCCCCGCCTTCCCCTGGACGTGGATGGCCTGTAACGAGGATGCTTGTAGCGGGGATGGATCTGGCGGGGGTGCGATTCATGGTGCTAGTGGCATCTCATGGCATGCATTGCTCCAGCATCCACGGAGGCATGGGGGGGGTGCTGCTGAAAGTGCACAGGAGACAGGAAAGGAGGGTGTTGGTCAGAGAGAAAACAAAGGAGGAATTCAGGGAGCAAAGGAGGGACCAAAGGAGGGAGCAAAGGAGGAAAGGAAGGAGGGCTCAAGAAAGGGAGCGGCAGGTAGTGGGGGGCGAAAGCAGAAGGGCGTTGAGGATGAGAGTGGAAAGCACAGCATGAAGCAGAGTGGGAGGCAGACTGGGAAACAGGGTGGAAGGCAGACAGGGAAGCAGGGTGGGAGGCCGGGTGGGCAGCAGAGTGGGGAGGATCTGGGTGGAAGGCAGGGTGGGCGTAGAGGGGCAGCAGGGAGGGGAGGGGTCCATGTGACGAATGAGGAGAGGCGGCTGGTTGGCATGGCCGTCACAGACATGGATGGGAGCTTCGATGATGCCGTCCATGCCCACCTGCTGCTGCCCATCCGTGCAAGGTACAGTAGACTTCCCAACCAAGGGTAGAACCATGGCAGGTGTCCACTTTTGTCCTGCAACCACCAGTGTTTGCTGCAATTGCTGTGGTGCAGGCAAGCCGGCCATTGAACCATTCTCTCGCTTGCCCTCCGCTCTTTCCCCTCTTCCCCTTCTTATCACCTCCCCCTCGACCACGCCTCCCCTCCCCCCCCACACCAGTCACGCACTGGTGAGCAGGGCAGCAGTGCAGGTGCTGTTCACAATGGGGCGCTACCGCGACCACTGCACCGCACTACACTGCCTCTTCCTCTCTCCCCACTCCGCCCTGCCCTCCGCCCTCCTGCACGCCCTCCATGCCATGGTGAGTGCCGCATGCCACAGCAGCATCACGATTTTTTAGGCACCTAAAATGTTTACGCCGTGGTGAGTACCGCATGCCACAGCAGCACCACGCCCTCTTCTGCCCTTCAATGCTGCCAGATTCAACATGCTTGCTTCTTCTTTCGTCCCCTCTACACCCTCTCCTATCCCCTCACCCCTCTCCCCTCTCCGCTCCCCCTATTCCCTCTCCCGTGCCCTCTCCCCTCATCCCCTTCCCCGCAGGACTGGGCCAGCCTTCGCTCGCTACCAGAGCAGCAGCACGCGCTCTCATCCGCCCTGGACACGGCCATCTCGCGAGCCTGCCTCTCCTCCCTCCCCTCCTCCTCCCTCTCCCGCCTCCACACATTCATCTCGCCATCCTCCCTCTCCTCCATAACATCTCTGCCGCCTCACCCAATGTTACCAGGGTTGGGAGGGTTGCGAGGCCAGGGGGGAGGGGTAATGGGCAGTGCGAGAAAGCAGCTGACGTGGAGCCCTTTGTCTGCTCATCGTGAGTGCCTGGGTTTCAATAACAGTAGGGGCACTTTCTCAACCGCACTGCATCCCTCCCCACACCCACCATCCGAATCTGGTATGTTACGTTCTGCGAGTCTAGTACGACACTCGCCTGAGCACTTCCTCAACCGCACTACATCTCTCTGCGCCCTTCCCCGCACCCTCAATCAGGGCTGGGCGCGTTTGAAATTGTGCGGGCGGGGTACGACCCTGGCTGGCCTGCCAGCGTGGTGATAAATAACGCCCCACCTGGAGCAGCCTTATAGAGACATAGACATGCTATCTGTACTGCAAATGTTTGGAAGAAAAAAAAAGCTCGACCGCACTGTGTCTCTCTCTGTTCTCCCGCACCCATCAGGGCTGGGCGCGTTTGACTTTGTGCGGGTGGGGTACGACCCTGGCTGGCCTGCCAGCGTGGTGATTCCCCCCCAGCTGGTGCAGCAGTATGCAGACGTGCTCACGGCGCTGATCCGGCTGCAGCACGTGCAAAGGGCCGTTGAAAATATCACGCTTCATGTCAAGGTAAGCAACTTGTGAGACGCCTTAATAGCCTTTTGAGATTCCCCAACAGCCTGCTAGCGTTGTGATAAAACCTAAGCTATTTATCAGGTCAGCCTGCAGAGCGTGCAGAGAGCTATTCAAATCCTTACCATTCACTTAAGGTAGGCCACTCTTGAGTCGCCTCGAATGCCTGCCAGCGTGGTGAGAAGGCCTAAGCTGGTGCAGCATTATGGAGACGCACTCACTGCGCTGCTCAGGCTGCAGCACGTGCAGAGGGCCATCAGCAGCCTCACCATTCACATCAAGGCAGGCACTGGTTTATGAATTTCGCATTGGCACCATGAGCACATGGCAGAGATGGCAACGGCAACATCAGTGTTCGTAACATGTCAATGCGCACCGCATGATACCGGTCGCTTCCCCTGATCTGACCCGACCCATCATGTGTTCTTTTCCCCGTCAGCCATTCTACGCGGGAGCATACCCTTGTGCTCCATAGCATACAAATTCATGCTGCATCATGCCGTGTCATTTCCGCGTCTTGCTATTCCTATTGATACCCCTGCTTCCTGTCAGGTCCTCCGTTCAGCTTTGCTGAACCCGTCGCTAGCACCAGCAGCAGAAGCAGCAGCAGCAGGCACGGCAGTGCACAGGGAGCGGTATCGGCGGCTGTGCTTCCTCAACGTGTTCACGTGAGAGCCCCTCCCTCGCCTGCTGTATCTGAGCTGCTGTGTAACCGCAGCGTGCGTGCATTGCAGCTGGTTTTGGGGCATTCTGGAGGGCAGCCACACCCTTCCCGCCACTCACCGCTCCCTGTGTTCGCCCTCCTGCTCTCTTCCCCTCCTTCCCCCCTCCCAGCGTGCGTGCAGCACAGCTAGTGTCCTGCATGCTCGCCTTCATGAGCGCTCAGCTGCAGCGAGCAGCGCAGCATGGGGACCAGATACTGCTGCTGGGCACTCAGGCAGAACACATGCCCTATCTGGTGGGTCTGGGTATTCCATTGGTATAATATTGAGCAGCTTCAAACATAGATTCTCGCTCAATGACTGCTAAGATGCAGCAAGCAGCGCAGCAGGGCGACCAGATGCTGCTGCTGGGCACTCACGACTCCTCAACACACAAACCCCACTTGGTGGGTCTGGGACTTACATGGTTGTGTTTCTCAGGTTTATCGGGGAAAACACAAGCACCCAAGGGTGGGTGTGAGCCTCAACTGGGGCGATTCTCATGCACTCTGAGAGTTCGGCTTGGCATTTTGGGCTAGATCGTGCCCGATTGGATCCATTATGTGCCCCTTGCTTTTCACCTTTCATCTATCTGTAATCCTTCCTTTGCCCCTTCCCTTGTTCCTCCTTCACTTGTGCCACCTCACAGGACCTATTCTCATTCCAGGAGGCGCATGCACAGTTTCTGCTTTACTGCACAACCAGGTCCTTTCTCCTCCCTCGTTCCCCATTCCCATTTCACCTTCGTTATTATGACATACAGATGCATTTTTTAATCTATAACTTCATATCATCGTGCTTCCTGTATGCCATGGCAGGTGTTTGTTGGATGCTCGCAGTGCTGCCATCAGGGAGCGACTAGACAGCCTGCTGCAGCTGGTGCTGGATGTGCATCGCAGCGTTGACTCTGCTCGCATGGTCGCTCCTCTCTCTGAGTTTTTTCTCGACGACGATGCTCCCATCTGGGAGGAGGTGAGGGGTGTAGTAACTCGAGTGCTTATGTCGTGTTATCGTGGTATATGTCAAACAAAACTATTGTACACCTCTGCTCAACCACCCCGCTCCCTGTGTTCATCCCCCGTGATGATGCTCCCATCTGGAAGGAGGTGAGGGATGTAGCACCAAGTTGTACTCAAATCTGTGCTAGTACCGGTATGTTGTTAATTTGCATGTGATCGTTCTCATTCTCACAAATTCTGCTTGCTTGTGCTCGTGATGAGTGTGGGCAGGTGGGAAGCATGTATAGGAGTCCAACGAGCCCCTGGATTATTTGTTCGATTTTGTAGCTTGCGAACATGCTTGTTCTCACAATGCCATGTCATGTTTGTGCTTGTGATGGGTGGAGTGCAGGTGGAGGAGCACGTGGGAGAGTTCAACGAGGCTCTGAATGAACGCTTAGTTTTGTTCTTGCAGTAAACGTTCTCAGTAATACACCTTTTTTCGCTTGTCTGTGCTTCGGATGGGTGGGGTGCAGGTGGAGGAGCACGTTGGAGAGTTCAACGAAGCACTCAATGACTTGCTGGATTTTCTCTCGCGCAAGCAGGAGGTTTCTCGCCCTGAAAAGCGCCTTCTCAAATACCTCGTCTTTCTCAAAGTCAACTAAACCTGTCTTGTCTCGTGGCTACACTTTGCTGTGTACTTGAGGGTACATTCCGCTGTGGATTTATGTCACAATCGATATGTCTCAATCCACTTTCCGTCGAGCCGCGCCCAATTTTCCCGAATCTGCATGTCCCAATCGATCAATGTATTGCGACTCATCCGTGTGATGCGAAAATTATCAGCGACCCCTGCTGATTGGTCACCGTCCATCCTGGCCCACATTCCCGCCAAAAGCACAAACACCCCCGAACCCCGTCAACTGGGGGAAACACAAATCCCCTCGGCGCACTCCCCGAAGATACACAACATAGCCGCGCTGCCAATAATTGCGACATCTGGTACTATAGTGGTATGCACCAGACATAAGGAGCTAGTATAAACCACAAACACACGTACTGGAATTAACGGCTTGCGCGCACTGTCCACCAGACATGGCTGAGCCACGAACCATCCCATTCATCCTACGGCTCCTCGTCGCCTGGATAACCTACTACTACACAATCTTCCACGACAATGTCTCCAAGAGCTTCGTAGGCCTGATAGAGTCTGGCGTCTTCGAGGACGACGAAGAGCAGTCCTCGTCCTGCGGGAGCGATTACGGCGACAACCGCCGTCATAGAGCGCGGATACGAAAGCGGAAACACGCTCTGTGGGTTGAAGACCTGCAACACATGCGCGAGAACGACTTTCAGGATCTCTTCAGGATCAACCGTTCAATTCTGGAGCACATTGTGGCAGGGATGCAACACTACCTTGAGCCGATTGTGCAACGATCCATACTCACCATGTACACTGCAGTGCTGATCCCTATCAAATACCTGGCATCTGGAATATCGTACGTAGACATCTCGTACCTGTTCGGCATCTCCAAAACTCTCTGCCACGAGGTGGTCGACGTGTTCCTCTCGCACTTCCCCTCCGTCTTCAAGGCCGCCTGGGTGCGGTTCCCCACCCGTGAAGAGCTTCCAGAGATGGCGCGGGAGTTTGCAGCCGTCAAGGGTGTACCTGCTGTGGTGGGTGCTGTGGACGGCACTCACATACACATGAAGGGGATGGAGGGGCACAGGACAGAATACTGGACAACGAAATCCGCATATGCTGTACAACTCCAGGTCACATGTGACGCACGAGGGAGAATATGGGACTACCTTATCGGGTATCCCGGTAGCGCTCACGACATGCGTGTTTTCAAGGAGTCTGCATTACTTGAGCGGTTACAGAACGGGGACATAGCCCCATACCAGATCGTTGGCGATGCGGCCTACCCACTACGGGAGTACTGCCTAACACCCCTGCATGCCCCACGAGGAGAGGACCTCATGGACGACTGGGCACAAACTTTCAACTACTGCCAAAGCGCCACACGCATGGCCGTCGAGAGATGCATTGGCGCGTTCAAGGGGAGATGGCGCATCTTCGGCCAGCGCAACGACTGCAGGCTGTGGCGCTTACTCGCCGGGGCCGCGTGTTGTATCATCCTGCACAACATGTGTGAAGACATGCAGGATGTCAGGCGGCGCAACATGGCATGGGCGAACATACCACGCAACCGAGATCCGTGGTGGACGCGGGGTGCTGTCGCGGCATTCAAATGGGAACCGTGCGATCCCCCTACACAACAAGCACTCAGGGAAAGGCGAAAACGACTAGGGGAGGCGCTGCAGTCATCTTACGCTAATCGTCGGCGCCGCGAACCCATACTTCCACATCCTCATCCGCCGGCATAGCGGTGTCGCCGTCGCCCTCGTCCACACGCGTCCGTGCGGTTTCGGGAGCAGGCGCGGACTCCCCGCGTGGCGGCGGTGGAGAGAATTCATGGGGCGTGCGGTGCACATCCGGGGGAGCCGACTCTGTCATACGCTCACGGGCAAGTCTGAGATCTTGCGCCATCCATTCACGGACGAGGCCTTCGATGCGGTTCATAGCGTCGCCATGGCAGTCCTTGATGGTGGCAGATACGAGCATGGCCGCTTGCATGGTGGCCGTCTCATGCACCCGGGCACGCCTCGGTGTGGCAGGAGTCGTTGGCGGAGGAGCTGCGACATAGCAGGGACATTCGCATTAGTGTTAGCTCATAGAATAACCCGTTGTCGGTGTGCGTTGCATGCATGTTTTTTTTTTAATTAAAATGTTCAAGAAACAACGTGGACGAGAACCACAACGCGAGCGATAAATCTCCGGACTCACCAGTGAAACAAGGGGTTGACGTGCCTGGCTGGGACGATTGCGGAACCTCCATGCCTGCCGGGACGTTGACGTTATTCGCGCCACCTCCGTCCACGGCATGAGGTGCGGCTGCGGCGGTGTCCTGGTTGTGCAGGTCAACGTACGGGTACCAAGGTGGTTTCTCCACGGAGCCGTTGCCCGACCCCTCGTCGGCCTTCTTATACTCACGCCATAGCACTATTAGGTTACGCCACTGTTTCTGGAGCGCGTTGACACCCCGGATCCATCCGGGGTTCGACTCCTTGATATGTGCGAGTAGCCGCGCCCAGTACTGGGTACCCTGTTTCCCCTTGAGGGGCTCGAGCTCCTCCTTGAGAAACCACTTTGCCGCAGCGAAGATGGTGCTCTCCTTGTCAGACCATAAACCGCGCTCGACAGGTGCAGCAGCCCGTTTCTTACGCGGCTCCGGGCGCGCTGCAGGTTGCGCCGCCTTGCCTTTGCCCTTATCAGACGCGGCCTTGCGTGCGGTTTTCCGTTTCGGCGGCGGGGCTCGCGGCTGTGCTTCCTCGGTGTCGTCGTCCTCGGTGTCATCGGCGTCCTCCTCGTCGTCGTCGTCGCTGGGCGACATTCCCTGGTCCTTAGGTTCGTCGTCCTCGTCGTCGGAGGCAAAGTCGTCGTCGCCTTCGTCGTCGTCGTCATCTGCTACGTGTTCCTCCACGGCGGGCCGGTGTGTTGCCGCCGTCCTGGTAGGCTGACGACGCATACGCGACGGCCCAGCCGTAGGCGACGGTGCAGTAGACCCCTGGCCGTCAAGAACGGGTGGCGCGGACAAGCCCCTGGGGTGACGGCCGTTGGCGATTTGCTGGTTCATCCAACGGATGTTCGGGATTTCGTTTAAGTCCTTGGGGCAGTCATTAAGAGCATGCCCCTTGCGCTTACGAGCCATGCTTGCGGTGGGCTCGCTTTCAGATCTGGATCTAGAGCTAATCGCGATGGTTGAAGATGATAGAGCACAATTTCACACACGGAGCACAACGTTGACTGGTTTGAGAGAAGGAGTTGTTGCGGAGGTGCACGGGGACGGGGTGAGGGCACATTGGCGGGGCTGTGCGCGTCCCTGTCAATAATTCTGCGCGGTTCGTTTCCTCCAATGAGGGTGCTCCGAACGCGTTTGGGGGGAAACTGGGTGTTGCAAAATGTGGTCCAGATACATTATGCATGGGATGACATTTGGGGCCGCGTGCGATTGCTGGGTAGTGTTGCAATTAGCTGGCGACAGTTCCGAGAATCACGCCACCCAATGATAATTACAGTCGGCGACCTTCACGAGCGCTACGGCATTCCGACACCTGGCAGCTTATGCTGGCCGTACGCGTCCCAATCGATTGAGACACATCGATTGGGACATATTCTACAGCGGAATGTACCCTGATTATGTATGTATGCCTCAAGCTTTCTTGTAGTGTATATTCTTTGTAAAGAAGTTTGACTCCGAGTTGCGCGTGCGTGTCTGAGCTCAAATTTCTCCAGCTCTTTTTGCCCGAGGCTTCCTCATTTGCCTGATGGCTTCAGCAGGAACGCCATTAGTTCAGTCGGGCCCATTGTGCGTGACCTAAGTTCCTCTGACGCTTGGTTACATCCCCCTTCGTCCTCACTCAACCATTCATCCGTATTCGCGGTTGAACGTTGCGGCGAAACTCAACAATGGCAAGCGACAACTGTGGCAGTAGCGTTAGCACCAGCAGCAGCGTCAGCACTAGACGAACGCGAGTGCAGCAGCTCGAGCGACTTCAGGTGTGCGGAACATTACACGGTTGCACCATCACTCCCGTCATCACTTCCGACTCAATCCGTTTCCTCAAGTCCTGATGCTCTCGTTTAGAATTCCGCGTTTTCACGTTACTCGTTGCCACGTAGCGGGCCCATTCCCCCCTCGTCGCGTCCATCGAGGCGCCTCGATGGTACGTCGTTCGAAGCTCAAATGATTCGATCTCGTTGTCGCCGTCAATCCCTCCCGCCTACTAGGAGCTGTCGCAGCTGCGGAGGAACCTCTCTGGAGCCAAGGGTGTCAGCTCGAATCCCAGCGATCAACCTGCACACTCGGCAATCCCAAGGGCGTCTACAGACTCGGCAATCCCGAGGATGCCTGCACACTCTGCAATCTCAAGGACGTCTACAGGCTCGGAAGCGAGGGAGGGCATGAGGCGGCGAATCCAGCTGGCTCAGCCATGCGGGGAGGCAGGGGCGGAGGGCAGAGGTGGGGAAGGTAGAGAGGGGGAAGGTTACAGAGGCAGAAGCGGGTCTGATGCACAGCCCGGGAGACAAGGGGTTTGCGCAGAGCCTGGGGGGGTTGGTAGGGCTGGGTTTGGAAACACAGTGCCAGCACGGGAGGAGGCAGAATTAAGGTGCGGGAGTGGTGCAGAACGGTGCAACGAGGCGCAGAGAGTGGGGCTGCGTCTGCAAGGGGAGCATGCAGTGAGAGGCGGACGAGGGGGAGGTCGGCCGTTGATGGCGGCGGTACCTTGGACGAGCCGGCAAAGCACAGGCAGAAGAACAGGCACAAGCACAAGCATGGACATGAGCGTGGGGATCAGCATGCACATGAGCATGGGGCGGTTCCAAGGCACCCCTCACGGCACATTGGGGAGGGAGGTAAGCAGTTGTGAGGCGTCCTTTGAATCGTCTCAAAAGTTGGCATAGGGTCAGCCCGTGATCGTTGGTTGTGGGTGGTTTGTTCGTGCGGTTTGTTCCGTTTATGTTGGGTTGTGTACATGTGCTGGTGCTCATGTGCCCTCATGCTTGCACCTTCTCTCCCTGTCACATGCTGCCCATCTTCTCATACTCCCGCCTTCTGTGTGCTCCCCATGCTCCTCATGCTTGTCACATGCGTTTATATGATCCCTATACCCCCCACATGCTCCCACGTGCTTCCCAGACAAAGCTGCTTACCCCACAAGCTAGACCGGTTGGATATGGCTCTACGGTCTAGTGACCATGCATCTTATGCTCACGTACTCCTCACGTGCTTCCCACACAAAGCTTGATCGCAGGTTCGGGCCGGCATTACAGCACGGCTACCATGCTCCTTACGCTCGTCTCCCCGCGTGCTCCCCATGTGCTCCGCATGTGCTCCCCACGTGCGTCCCAGACAGAGCTGGACCGCAGGTTGGAGGCAGCCCTACGGTCCGGTGACCACACAGCAGCGCTGCGGGTGAACGAGGCGATTATCAGAAGGGAGAGCGCGCGCCGGCAGAGACAGGCAGAATGGCACATGCAGCTTGCAGCGAGCTTGCAGGTGAGCAGACGGGCAGAGTGAGTGGCACGTGCAGCTTGTGGCTGTTCAAGGATTGCTGCAAAAGTAGCTTCAACGTTTCTGAACAGGGTCTTTCCTCAATAAACCTGCACCCTTTGCATTGCCACAGGAGCAGGAATCGGCGCGGCGCAAGAAACGGCAGCGGCTGAATTGGGGGTGAGATATTCTTTCATTTTAGCTTGTCATGTAAAAGCTTTTTGCTTTAAGAAGCAGTTTACTTCATGCTTCTCTGTGCTTGTTTGTGGGCTAACCGAGTGGTGCTTGTGCAGGATGGATGTGCTGCGCAAGTCAGAAGGGAAGGGCAACATGTGAGATATTTTGGTACTTGTAGGGTACACATTGTATATGATAGCCATTGTAACATGTCTGGTACCGTATGGAAGTTTGTCAGGCCAATTATTAAAGTATAAATATGTCACTGCACAAAGCGAAGCTTTCCGCGACGGGTGTGGTGTTTTTTCACGTCCGAGGAATCGAAATGTAGCCAGGAGAAAGTGCCCCATATGTAGACGGTTGCGATGAATCCAAAGGAACTTGATCGGCAGTTGAAAGCCTACGCGGTTCGGCCAAATGGTGGGAGTGAAATTGGCGCTTCGAGAATTCTACAATCCAATTTTCAGCCTGAAAGTTTGACCAACCAGTACCAGCAATGGATTTCATGTCCAGCAACCCCTAATTGCCAACGTTCCATTCCATGTTTGCTTCACACATGTGTGCGATGGGCATGATACTTTGCTTTACTTTACCGCCGCGTTGACCGCCTATCTACCATATCTTGGCGGCCTTCTCTCTCGTGGAGATACGCTCCTCTTTCTCGCATCCCTCGACAGTTAACGTCCATCTAAAAAGGCTTTGAAACTGCAACCGTGAAATGGACACGCTCTCAGCGACAAGACTCAGTTGTCCAAAATCGACGAGAAGCTTTATCAATCCTTCCCAGGTCACAGCGGCGCAGGTTAAATCATGCAGATCGATCCAGAGAGCCAATTATAAGCTTACCAAGTGTGGGACACCCCAATGGCGGTGCCGCGTATGTCACGGAAGCGTTGACTGTAGGTCCTCTGTTGCAAGAGCAGACAGGTCCACCGGCGTGACCGCCGCGACAGTGGTGGCGGCACGGGCGAGGTTATTTGGGGAGCGCTTTCGATCTCCTGGTAGCGCATCGTCGGTGTGGCGGTCCGCCGCGCTGCGCGGGCATACGACGCGGCGCGAGCGAGGCGGTAGAGGGCCGCGCGGAGTTACAGTGACGGCCACGTGTAAGCCTCTCGATGGGCGGGAAAGGGGAAACTTCCCGGGGGGAGGACGACCGGCGACGGGAAGAAGTTTTGGGGAGGAATGTGAGGTGGTAAGATGAGCACAACGGAGGGATACACCGGAGGGACATAGGCCTTTGCGTACTTCTCGCTCTTCGCCCCCTGAGAGACACAGCGTCGTCCGCGCCTTCACGGAGTTGACTTTTGAGTCGACTCAAAAGTCAACTCGTCCGCGCCTTCACGGAGTTGACTTTTGAGTCCGCGCCTTCACGGAGTCAACTCGTCCGCGCCTTCACGGAGCTCGCACCCTCCATCCAATATCCCGTCCCCATCTCCCCACCTTCTCCCCTTTTCCCCCGCCTCTCCCGCCTCAACCCCATTCCACTTTCCTCCCCTTCCCCCACCTTCTTCCCCCACCCCCCCCCCCCTCTCCCCGCGCTCCGCCTTCCCCCGACCTCCAGGGGACGTGGTGAGTTGCGGCGTGGACCGCGCGTTCACGGAGCTGGCGGAGTTGGATAAGTCGCCCGGGAGCGACGGGCGGCAGGTGATCAACGTGCCCGAGCTCTACACCGGCATCCTCATTGTCTACGAGTGAGTGCTCATCGCGTTAAGTGGTCCTTGTTCTGTATGAGTGGGTGCTATTGCGTACGAGTGAGTACTACTTGCGTACGAGTGAGTGCCTGTAGTGCATTACACCCAGCACCCAATCAAGCACAGTTCAAACATCAAACGTTACATCTCCTTCCACTTCAACCCCTCTTCCCTCCTGTTCGCGCGCCCTGCAGCAAAGTGAACCAGCTGGTGCCGGGGATGCACATCAAACCGCCCTCCAAGAAGCAAGTTCTTCAGCTCGTGCAGGTACGTCATTTGAGGCGCCTCAAAAGACATTAAACCACCCTCCAAGAAGCCAGTCCTTCACCTTGTGCAAGTACGTCGACTTCATGCATTGTGCACAATGTGTACTACACATAGGAATACTCGTTTTGAGGTGCCTCAAAACAAGTTTTTCAGCTCGTGCAAGTACTTCAACTTCATGCATTGTGCACGAGGTGTACTTTGCTTGTAGTGGATCATATTGTATCCATTCCATTTTGAAAGTCACCATTTTTGTGCACTCCATCTGCCCTGCCAAGCTTGTCGTTTACCTCTTTCGCTCTCGTCCCACCTTTTTTCGCCATCAACTCCGCTCAGAGGATGCCAACATGTCGCATGTCATGTTGCACACTTCATTCACACCCTACTAATCCGTCTCTTTTCTCCACTCGCATGTGCTCCGTGGCGGCAGGATTACGACATCAACCACGACGGCGTGTTGGACAGGGAGGAGTTTGGCAAGCTCGTGCGACACTTCGCACGCACTGTCGTGGCGCGAGTGCTGATCAACGTCCTTCTCATCTTCTCTCTCGTTCCCTTGGTGGTGTCGATTGCTAGCAACCTGGCGGAAACGTTTGGATGGGAACTACCTGAAGCGATCGCTGCAACTGTGCTCACGTTGCTCGTAAAAATGGTTGGAGTGTGATTCTTAGTGTCTTTCTGTTGGCAACAGTTCCAAGTGCTATCGCTGTACAGAAGAGTAATCCAGGTTAACAGCTGTGTATGGTAGGGAATCCAGGGAGAATGTAGTGAACTGGGGGGATCTTAGCTAGAACTTGGATCCCCACAGCTCCCAGTCCCCGTAGCAGCACCAGTAACACTAGCGGCATCGTCAGGACTAAGCACTGCCAGCAGCGGCACCATTATGAGGAGCAGCAGTAGCAACCGGGGCAGGCAGTGAGGCACCAAGCACGTGCTACAGCAGCCCAACCCTCTCGACTATGGGCTGGGCGGCAGGGAGAAAAGGCCTGAGCAGACGACCAAGAGCAACGGTATGGATCTCCCGTTGCCCTCATCGATGCTATACTCTTCCTCCAACCTCCCCCATCCTCACCCCGTTCTGGTACCCCACCCAACACCTCCTCCTGCTTCCCCTCATCCAGCTAGCTGTCCTCCTCCCACCTGCTCTCCACCTGATGCGTTATCCGCCTCCTCCCCTCAACATAAGTCCACGAAACACCCCCCTCTTCTTCATGCCACTCTCCCCAAGACCCTTACATAGTCCACTCCACCCTCCGCCGTGTACAACCTTTGCGTAACCCCCACACTAGTGGCAAGTAGAAACGAACGGCAAAAGCGACAATTCGTAAGCAAGAGAAACAAATCCTTGTCATCTGTCCTCATATGGAGGCAACATCCATAGCAGTTGAATATGCAGTTTCTGATAGTCTTTTGGTTTTTATGTGTGTACTATATTGATATTGATCAGCATTCTAGGTGCTATCTTGTATATTTGAAAATGTGGGAGAAAAAACCTTGGGGTACACGTAAGTCACTGACACGAAGTAGAACATCTCACGACGGGGATCATGTGATTTCACATCCGACGAATCTACGTCAACGGACAAGAAAGTGCCCCATTTCTGGACGGCTGGGATTAACCATTATTGAGCGCTCCGAGTTTTCCCAAGCTGCTCGAGGGTGGCTGGACAAACATTTTGCATGTCCAGCTGGCAACACGTACATTGCCAAGCCAACATTGCCTCGAGCACTTCCGTAAGTGGTGATTCTTTTCTGCTTCACACTTGCGCCGCGTTGACCTATATCTATTACCTATCGGCCTTATCTCTCGCGGGTGTAAGCTCCACTCCCGCATCTTTCGACGGTTTACGAAAGTAATTAGAAGGCTCCGAAACTGCAATCGTGACATGGACACGCTTTCAGCGACGAGGCTCAAATCGCCAAGATCGACGAGCAGTCGGGTCGCCGCGGCTCAGGTTAAACCGTGCGAATTAAGCCAGAGGGTCGTTCTTACTAAGTGGGGTACACCCCACTGGCGGTGCCGCGTAACCCACGCAGGCGTTAGCTGTAGGTCCATAGGGGCACTGGGCGGGTCTACCGCCGTGACCGCCGGGAACGTGGCGGAAGCAGGGGAAGGGCTATTTTGGGAGCGCTGTTGGGCTTCTGGGAGCGCTTTGTCGTCACGAAGGTCCGCCGCCCTGCGCGGGCACTCGACGCGGCGCGAGGGAGGCGGTAGAGTGGCGCGCGGAGTTAGAGTGATGGCCACGTGTAAGCGGGGGGTGGAGGGGAGGTTGAGAGGTGGAACGGCAAGGGGCGATGGGGGGAGCGAGAGGAGGAATGTGTGGGGGTTGTGGGCTGTAGAGCCGCGGGGAAACAGGGCGGGTATGGAGATCCTATGTGCAGTTGTCGCTCTTCGCCCCGTCTCGATACAACGGGAAAACGGCGAGTCGCAGCGTCAACCGGGCATTTCAGGATTTTCCCTTCCCACAATAGCGCGCACATCCATAACTCTCCCCCCTCTCTCCACACTCTCTCTGCCCCCCCCGCCCCCACATCCTCCCCCGCGCCCGCCCCGCGCGATCCCCCGGATAATCCCAGGGGACGTGGTGAGTCGCGGCGTGGACCGCGCGTTCACGGAGCTTTCGGAGCTGGACGAGACGCCGGGGAGCGACGGGCGGCAGGTGATCAACGTTCCCGAACTCTACACCGGCATTCTCATTGTATACGAGTGAGTGCTGATTTGCGTTCGAGTGAGTGTTGCTGGAGTACAAGTGTGCACTGGAGTACGAGTGCTGCCTGGAGTGCTCGAGCTGGTTGTACTCTCCCAGCTTCAACCATTACATCTCTCCTCCCTGTTCGCCACCTGGCCATGCAAACGTTACATCTCCCACAGCAACGTGAATTCGCTCGTGCCCGGGATGCACATCAGCCCGCCTTCCAAGAAGCAAGTTGTCCAGCTTGTACAGGTACTTCTGTTTTGTACATGATATGAGGATCTCATTATATCTTGTCCATATTAAGGCACTGACAAAATCTTCTCGTCTACCACTTCCCTCTCGTCCCATCGCACCCATTCTCGTCGTAATTCCCGTTCACAATACCTCCATCACGCGCTTTTGAGAGGACTTAGAAGCTGTTTTGCTTTCCCTCTGACGCCTGCTCTCTTCAGGATTACGACATAAACCACGACGGCGTGTTGGACAGGAAGGAGTTCGGCGAGCTCGTGCGACACTTCGCACGCACCGTCGTGGCGAGAGTGGTGCTCAACCTCGTTGTCATCTTCTCGCTAGTGCCTTTGCTCGTGTCGCTCGCTAAAAAGCTCGCGCATAAGGTTGGGTGGAAACTACCAGAAGCAATTGCAGCAACTCTGTTCACGTTGCTGATTAAAATGACAGGAGTGTGATGTTATGTTTACAGCAAGCCATATGCGTGTGCTGTATATAGAAGCGATGAACTATTTAGTACTTGTGCTGGCTAGTGCTGAGGTCAGAATGGCATGATGTTTAGAGATGCCTCGACAGATGATTACAACATGCAGCATAGCCTACCACAGATAGCATGCTTTCTAAATCTCCTGTACCTACATACCCTGTACTTATTGACCGTTGAGAGGACGGACCATGCTATTTTTCTACTGGTACTTATCTACACATCCGCAGCTCCCAGTCTGCACAGCACCACCTCCAGCAGCACCACCTGCACAAGACGTACCAGCAGCAGCATCAGCAGCATCAGCAGCATCAGGGAGGTGACCAGGGAGGAAGGGCATGAAGAGGCCACCCAGGGCGTATGACACGGAAGCAGCGTCACCCGCTGCTGCCAGCGGCGCTTCAAGCACTGCTGCTGCCAGCGGCGCTTCACGTGCAGCTGCTGCAGAGAATGCACCCACTCCCTGTTGGGCTAGGGGCAGCGGGTCAATCTTTCTTCGGGCCGTTGGAGCTGCTGTCCCTGAAACCTCCCCCCACTCCAGTCCACCTTCCGTCTCATTTGAATCCACAAGCGCTCTTTTTTTGCTCCACCCCTGCGCTCCATCACTCTCCATCACGCCGTGTGGACCACCCATGCCGCTCAAGCCACTCCAGCCGCTCAAGACACGTACGCCACTTACGCCACTATCCCTGTGACTCCCCTGGTCTTCTTCGATGTTGTGAATGCGCGCTCCTCTCTCCGACCCCTCCTCTTCCTCCCCTCTACCCGAACCGTCGTCCTCTCTTCCTTCCGAGTCACCTCTGTCACCTTCTGTTTCCGCACAGTCATGATCCGTCTCACTTGTAACATAGCGAAAACCGGCGACAGCAGCCATCTGTTCGCGCAGCAGAAGAATCTCCTCTCCTTGCCTCTCCACCTCGGCCCTTAAGCCCTCTACCTCCTCCTCCTCGTACCGCGCTTTCTCGACTAATATTCTCTCTCTCTGCCGGGCCGCTAACTGGTCGGCAGCTTTATCGTCTTGCAACCGTCGGATCGATTCCATGCTCGCCATCGCAGCGCTGTCCGCAGCCGCTCGCTCCTGCTCCAGTTCCCGTCGCAGACTGTCGCTAAGCACCCACTCTTGCTCCAGCTCTTGTCGCAGAGAGTCGCACGTCGCTCGCGCTTGCTGGAGCTCGTGTAGCAGGGCGTCGTTTTCTTGCGCGTGCAGCTCGCCAGACGTACCCGCTCCGATAGTCCTGTTCCGCCCTTCGCCTCCTATTCTTGTTACAAGGTCCTCTTCGCCCTCTGCAGTGGCGAGCTTCGCAACAGCCCTCGCCTCCTCAACCCATCGCCTCATGTTCTCCTCGTCCCATAACCTACCGGGAGAAGATTTATCGCCTAGCGACGACGACGACAGCCTGAGTTGATCCCATGGCGACCACTCGTCGCAACCCACTTTCTCACCGCCCTCGCAACTCCATGTATAAGCCGCATTCTCCGTGTACTCCTCCCTGTGATCCAGATCCCGAGCCTTACCGTAGAACTCAATATCGCGTACAGTAGCCGAGAGCCAGGTCTCGACGAGGCACACGAATCGCACGATTCTCTGTACGATGCGGAGCGGCGGCAAGAGAAACGTCAAGGCGAGTCTGCAGGCGGCGAGAGCGACGAGGGCGCGAAAGAGGAGGAGGAGCGAGTTGAACACGTGGATGATCTGCGAGGACATGGAGAGAATCTCAGCCGCCGTACATCGCGCCGAACGAAGAAATGACGTCGACATTCGTCTATCTGTCGGGAAAGGTTTGAGTGAAAATTTATGCCGGTGCGCATTCTTGGTTGCAGCGTTGCTAGGGATGCCGTGTGCGATGGGCTTGCTGAAGATGATATTCCGCGTTGATATTCCGTCGCTCCGGGAGCTGCTTCTGCAGCTATATGCTAGATCGACCATAGGTTTCAACAAGCATGTGCGACGAGTAACTCGTGAGAGATGCTAAAACTCGCACCCATTTGGGAAAGGCGCTGTGCGTCCTATTTATTGAGAGTTTTGCACCCTTGTCAAGCTTGCTGGACCAGCGTCAGCAACGGGTGGCGATCAGTGCAGAACTGGGGGTTGGGGTGAACAGACTTTGGTGGGACAAGAAGAGGGGAGGTTGCATGGTCGTGGCCGTCGAAAGCGCCTCAGATGACAAATTGCTCAATTCGGGTTTGGAATGTGTGCGTGCATTGAGGGCGACGCGTGCGTGAAATGCAGAAGGTAAGCGGCGCGAGATACAAAGGAATGAAGTCGGATCCCGACACGTGTGAGTGTGAGAAAAACGAGCGTGAAGCGCACCGAAGAGGTGATGCCTGTGTGATGGATGCTTTTTGCGAAGTGTAGGTGTTACAAGAACAGTCGAATCACAGTGGACCAGACTGCATGGACTTCGCAAACCAGACCTCCCAAGTGGCGTCGATGGCGTGGTGCTTCAAGAACGATAAATTCGCTCAATTCGCGAAGGTAAATTTTGCGAGACACGATTGGGGCAAGCCTTGTGCTCCCATCCGTTATGCGAACGTGAAAACTCCCAAAAAGTGATGTATCGGGTAACTGGGCTATCCGTCAATGTGTACCGAAATCTGGTGCAACTACCATTCGCCTTCAGCAACCTCCACATGAGTGCTGTGATGACTGGCAGCAGGAACTGTAGTGAAGAAAGTAAGGGCGAGTCGAGACTCGAGACAACCTGGCGCAACCCACACCTGCCGAGTCGCATGTGAAACCTCCTCGCTGCAACCATCAGTTGCAGCGTGCTGTTCCCTCACTCTCACGTTTGGACGGCCTAGATCATCCCTTCGTTGCGACCATCCAGCTCATTCCACACCCACCAAGCCAACTATGCCCGACGCGCCCCCACATGCGCCAGCGATCTCGATTCTCCAATCTCAAAACACACAAGTGATGAATGCCGCCACAAGCACTGGGATAAATAGGTCATAATTTTCTCCTATCTACAAGCTCAATCCACTCGAGCAACTCGTAAAGCCAAGCATTTTCCTCGAGATTCCTGAATCGCTCAAGCGCATGAGCGTCTCTGCTCGCTAGTTCAATGTGTACAATTGAAATGCTAAATTCTTTGCGGGGCTCGTTGCTGGAACGAAGCGAGTGGCTCGTACTCGTAGCGGCTGTGACCTAGGCGTCCATTTCGGATTCTTCAGCTGCCAGTTCATTAAGAAGCACAATTACGAATTCCAGCGCGACGACAGCAGAGGGCTTGCAGCACTCAGCGCGGTCGGAGCGAGGGCCAACAGATGGCAGACGATAGCAGAAGCTGCAGTTCCAAGCAGTACCACGACGAAACGGATCGCCTTGAGGCTTTGCAATCCCCTTACCTACGCGCGCATCTGCTCACGTCAACAAATGGACACTGCGGGAAAGCGTGAAGCTGCGGCAACACCAATGCTCACAGAAAAAAAAAAAAAACTACTTTGTGGCGTCAATCACGTGGCCATGAGGAATAAGCGCTGCTTCAGCCAGTGACTACCCGCAGCGCGCTGCGGCAATAACCCGTCCAACAACCGCCGGACGAGAATAAGCGTGAGAGCTACCAATAAGCGAGGATGCGGCTCCGATTTGCAATCCAGCAGCATCCTCCAATATCAGCGCGCCACCTGTCCGATAGCAGCGCTAGGGACGAGAGGAGCATGCACTCTGCGGCTCCTCCCTCCCCCCCAGTCTTCTGAGTCCACCAATAAGCGCCGGGCTTCAGCTGGCTTCTGGCTTAGAGCGAGTCCTCCTGCATCGAGGATGCGTTGTAGCTGCAGCTTCAGCCCCCACTCTGACTCGAAGACGAATAAAGCGCGGCGAATGGCGATAGGCCACGCTGACGGCCCCGCGCAGCGAGATGCCACAAAAGTCCGTTCATCAACCGCCAGACGAGAATATGTGTGGGCGCTACCAATAAGCGAGGATGCGGCTCCGATTCTCGCAGTGCAGCAACATCCTCCAATACCAGCGCGCCACCTGTCCGATAGCAGCGCTAGGGACGAGAGGAGCATGCGCTCTGCTGCTCCCCCGTCCCCGGTCTTCTGAGTCCACCAATAAGCGCCGGGCTTCAGCTGGTTTCTGCCTTAAAGCGAATCCTCCTACATCGAGGATGCTCTGCAGTAGCTGCAGCTTCAGCCCCCACTCTGACTCGAAGACAATAAAGCGCGGCGAATGGCGACAGGCCACGCGGACGGCCCTACCTAGGGCTCACATACGGTTACCCTCCCGGCACATCGCACACACAATAAGCGGCTCGACAACGATCCAATCCACTTCGGCCCAGAATCCGACCATCATCCCTTGCCGTGAACCTCCTACCTCCTGAGATTGCGACGGCCCTTCGGGCGGATCGCACAGAGTCGCAGGACTGGTCGCATGGCGAATAAGCGGCGTTATCGCCCACAGGGAGATAGGCTGCGGATTTTATCTGCGGGGGGAGTTGGAACGAGGAGTGTGGTTTAGCCGGATGCAGTGCGATGACACAATAAAGGGATGGGTACCGTCAGCTGGGAGAAGATGTTCCAGTTGCCGATTCATTAATTCGTGTCTATGTAAGGAGAAGTTATTATTGCTGTACACCTTCTCAACATCGAGCAAGATCTGTGCCAATCCAACCGACACTGCACCCATGGTAATGAAATGTGATGGCTAAAATCATTTCTGCAGCACAAGCACACCCATGAGACCTCCTCCAATCTCATAATGGACTGCCTTGGAGAATCCAGCATCCTTTGCCAACTGCTCCTGCTGCCGCCCTGTGACCCGCACACACACAGCCATGCACAAGATATCAGGTGAGGGCCTAATGCATGGGGCAAGACATGGGTTCAAAAGTGTGGATAGTGAGAAAGTCAAGTGGTAGGACAGAGTGTGCACCGCTGGGTATGCATCACCTGTGGGGCAGGTACTCGTACTCCTCTGACAGCCCAAACAGACAGCCACACCTGGTGAGGCACTAACTGTGAGAAAGGTGTTACCTATGGAGCAGGCATTATCTGGGGGAGGTATTACCTGTGGGGAAGCGGCGGATGGAGGGCAGCAGGTACTCGTACTCTTCTGACAGCCCAAACATGCGCGCCACCGGCACCACCGCGTTCTGCAGCGCAAACTCCTGCATGTGAGTGCGGGGAGGGGTGGGGGGGTGGTGTGTTCCAGTTTCCGAGAGTGTTTTTGGCACACCGCGTTCTGCAGCGCAAACTCCTACATGTGGGGGCGGGGAGGGAGGGAGGGAGTGGGGAGGGAGGGGGGAGGGTGGTATGGTGTGTGACAGCTTCTGAGAGTGCTATTGGCACTACCGCATTCTGCAGAGAAACTCTTGTGGGGGAAAAGAGAAGGGGGAATGGCAAAAGAAAAAAGAGTGGAGGGGGGGAGGGGTTTGAGACGAGTCGAACCAGCACAGTGTGCTGTGCAGGACCAACTCGTGCACACAGAGGAGAAGAGGAAGGACTGGGGGAGAACCAGGAAGGACTGAGGAAGGACTGGGCTGGGGAAGGGCATAAATCCAACCAGTTACTACGCAAAGTAGGGGGAACTGTAATAAACATGACTGCTAGTGACGCCTCAACAACACTCAGCTGCTGCCCTTGAATGCACCCTTGCTGACCTGGAAAAAAATGATGCTGACCTGGAACGGGATAATGCTGACCTGGAATGCGGCCACAAGAGGGTCCTCTGTGTGGTTGAAGTCGAGAATGGCTGCAGAGCTACCTGCAGGTGGGTCGAAACACAAAGTGGGACAAGGAAACATAGAGAGATATGGCAAGCACATGAGGCACCATTGCTCAACAAGAATGGCAGTGGAAGCGCAACAGTCCAGTCCACCCCTCAATCCCAATCTCTTCAAGCCTGAACCATCCACCCCACCATCCATCCCTCTTTCTCCCACCCCCCCTCGCTAGCCCTCAGCACGTGGTTCAGCACCCCAACCCACCCGTGGCTCTCACCAGCCTTGAGCACGCGGTGAATCTCCTGCAGGGCACGTGGAATGCTGGTGACGTTCCTCAGCCCGTACCCCATGGTCACGGCGTCAAATGAGTTTGCATCAAACGGCAGGGCAAGGGCGTCGCCCTCCACCCACCTGGAGTGGGTGCGTATGGGTGGGGGGTGAGGGGAGATGAGGCGAGGGGGTTGGTTGATGCTGGTGGCGTTTCTCAGCCTGTACATACCCCATTGGGGGCCGCCCTCCACCCACCAGCAAGGAAGTGGGGGGGAATGAAGCAGGGGAGCAGAGTGTTGCTGCTGGTGACGTTCCTCATCCCATATTCCACCTTCCTCCTCACCTCTCCCTCACCCTCTTCCCTGCCCGCCCTCCCTACCTCATGTCCACTCTGCGGGCCGAGTAGCTGTCTTGCTGCTTCTGGGCGGCGACAACGAGCTGCTGGGCGGCAAAGTCAAGCCCCACCACGCGCCCCGAGGGACCCACCTTCTCCGCCAGAAGCAAGGAGAGATCGCCGCTGCCACAGCAGATATCGAGGGCAGTGTCGCCTGGGCGTGCTCTGTGAAAGTGAGGGTCAAGGGGAGAGGCGTGAAAAAGAAGAGAGGGGAATGATGAGATACAGCAAGCTGATAGGGCGAATGTCAGCCCCACCACCTCCGCCAGCAGGTGGTGGGGCTGCTGGGCGGCAAAGTCAAGCCCCACCACGTGAACCGAGGGGCCCACCTCCTCCGCCAGCAGCAAGGAGAGATCGCCTCGCCGCTGCCACAGCAGATGTCCAACGCGGTGTCGTCTGGACGAGCTCTGAATGAATGGGAAAGGCAGGGGTGGGGAGGGAGGGAGGAGGTGGGGGAGGGAAATCCCGGAATGGTTAGCCAGCAACAAGGAGAGATCGCCGCTGCCACAGCAGATGTCCAAAACGGTGTCGCCTGGGCGAGCTCATAAGTGGGGGGGAAGGGGAGGGGAATGCGGAAGGACAAGAGGATATGCCGCATTGGCATGTTGTGAAACAGAAGGTGCCCTGACATGCCGCGTGGACATGCTCTGAGCAAGAAATCGGCACATGGGAAAAGCGGGAAATTGCTGTCACGAAGGGAGATAATAGTTGAGCATGAAGGGAGTTTGATCCAATTTAGAAATTCCTCAAAATGGCTCTGATCAGGTTTGTTCAGGAAGTGGTATATCTGGGTATGCTCTGATCCCTCATCCCCCACTTCCTGTTCCCCTTATCCCACTTCCCCCCCCCCCCTTCCGCTCCTCCACCCACCAGTCATTCTCTCCCAATGCACCCGCTCTCTCCCGCACACCTTCACTTCTCCCGCTTACCCGCCCTCTTCGTTCCTCCCCTCCTCAACCCTTCACTCTCCCACCCCCCCACCTGCTCCACCCGACAGTCATTCGCTTCCACACGCGGTGCTGCCCCAGGCTGAGCCAATCGTTGAGCTGCACGTGGCAGGCAGGGTAGAAGGAAAGGGGAATTAGTTTGAGAAGGGAGAGAGGGGAGGGAGAGAAGGCAGACGGGAGAGTGGCAGATTCAAATTGAGAAACGGGCAGGGGTTTGAGAAGGGAGGGAAAGGACAAAGGGGAATGAGAAGAAAGGAGGGATAATAGGGAAGTGGTGGTGGGTGGTGTGGGTGGTGGGTGGAGTATGATGGGGGGGAAAGCAGGAGACGCAGTTTGCACGCATGAATCACGCAATGCGCGTTACTCACGTCGTCATTCATTGGAGGGATGCTCTTGAAGATCTTCTGTCGACTATCGCTCTGAAGTGCCTTAACTCGCGGCATACGCCACTCAGTGTACGCACATTCCTCACGTTTCGTACAATCTCACATTCTCACATTCCTCACAAGCGTCGCGTTACTCACGTCGTCATACATGGGAGCGATGTTATTGAAGATCTTCTGTCGGCTGTCGCTCTGCGCTCGCTCTTCCTCGCTCCTCCCTCCCCTCCACCCCGCCGCCCTCCCTCTCTCATCCTCGCTATCAGTCAGGTCCGTCGGATTCACATCGGACGGCCCCTGATCGTCCCATTCCACGCCCGTCGAATCCGCCGCTGCCGCCACTACCACGCATCGCCGCTCTGAGTGTCGCTGCGCATTCCCGTTAAGGCTAATTTGACCCGTCAGTAAACGCGCGCTGACGCTGCTGCTGCGACTTAAGTTCCCGCCGCTACATGTGCTACTCTGAAAGCATGAATCGACGCGCAACTGCGAGCGCTTCAAAGCAGCGCAAGGGCCCGCTGCAGCAGCCGCGGACGCGATGGCGGAAGCCATTCTGTAACGCGATTGGTTGCGCGGATTCGGGTTCGATAAATTCAAGGATTGCCTTGCCTCTCCCTGTCTTGGGTTTGTCTCAGCTTGTCATGGCGTGTTGCCTCTTGGAAGTGGCTATGGGACGTTTTCGCGAATGTGTCTCCGTGTAACCATCAGTGTCTCCTTCCCATGTAATCAAACAAAATCCCCTTGGGCTTGCCGAGTGTGTCAGCGGTCAGTTTCGTGATCAGCAGCGCTCGCGAACCAATCGCGTGCAGAAAGCTCTCACAATGTTTAGTTTTGTCCCGTCATTCGCGAAGTTGAAGCAGTAACTGCGCCACTACACTACTGACACACGAGAGTTGTCTCTAGTCAGTTAGAGACCTCGTTTTCTCCCTTCTAATCTTGAGACATCCACTCCCCATAAAATCCAGTGGCATGATATCAGGGTTCAGGGTTCACCAGGTACCAGTGCTCACCGGGTTCTTGGAAAGAGCTATGGCTGAAGTGTTGTACCTCAAGTCCTCCAAGAGTCCACGTAACCAGATTGCCGCCCTTGCTCCTTTGGTCATTGCCATGTACTCAGCTTCGGTTGTTGAAAGTGCCACACAACTTTGCTTGCGCGATTGCCAAGAAACAGCGGCACCACACATGAGGAAGATGTAGCCGCCGGTAGACTTGCGTGTGCTCAATTCTCCCGCCCAATCTGCATCGGTAAAGCCTTAGAGGGAGCTTGCATATGGGCTGGCTTGGAAGAGAAGACCATGATTAGAAGTACCTTTGAGATACCGAAGAGCTCGCTTGGCTGCATGCATATGAATAGGTGAAGGGGCACTCATGTGTTGAGCTAGCTTAGATACCGTGAATGCTAAGTCGGGCCTTGTGCATAGGGCTGCATACATGAGACACCCAACCTGACTTTGGTAGAGAGCTAGGTCTTGTGGGGATACCTTAAGTGAATTCTCACCATGATGCTCACTCTCCTCAAGACACAACTCCTTAATACCTATGATATCAAGGCTTGACTCTCTCTCTTCATAGGGCTGATGTGAAGACAAATGGACAAAGTTGGAAGGAGGTGGGGTAGGTGATGGCTTGCTATCATCATGACCAAACCTCTCAAGGACCTTTGGGATGTACCTTTGCTGGAATAGGAAGATGGACCGTGACTTACGATCTCTCACAATGTTCATACCAAGATAATGACTCGGCTCACCAAGATCGGTCATCGTGAATGCACTTGTGAGAATACCTTTCACCTTGTTGAGAAGATCAAGAGAACCTGAGACTAGGAGGAGGTCATCGACATATACCAAGAGCCAAATGTACTCCCCCTCACTCGTGTGCATGAAGTACAGAGCGTTGTCTCTCATGGACCTTGTGAAACCATGCTTGAAAAGTACCTGCTCAAGAGCATGATACCAAACCCGTGGGGACTGTTTGAGACCATAAAGGGACTTTACAAAGCGACACACTCGACCCGTACCGTCATCATAACCTTCGGGTTGTGCCATGTATACCTCTTCTTCCAAGACACCGTAGAGAAATGCGTTCTTGACATCCATTTGATGGATATGGAGACAAAGGTATGCGGCTATGGCGAGGAGGTTTCGTACCGTGGTGTACTTTGCTACCGCGGCAAAGGTTTCGGTGAAGTCAAGACCTAGAATTTGGGAATAACCTTTTGCCACTAACCTTGCCTTGTACCTATCGAGGCTACCATCACCTTTTACCTTGATCTTGTACACCTATTTGACACCAATTACCTTCTTCCCTGGACTTCTTCTTCGGCTTTCAACCAATGCTCTCTCTCGGGACTTGCCATTGCCTCACGATGACTCAAGGGCTCTCGCGGAAGGTGTGATGCTGCCATGCATATTGCCTCTACCTTCTTGTGAATGCAATTCTCACTCTCCTCACATGTGCACCTTGATGACATGTCAACCATGAAAGTGAAGGGCTTTTTTACCTTGCGGACTCGTTTACCTTTACCAAACTCCTCACTTGGCTGAGACACATTAGTGGTAGGGTTTGGTCTCACAGTGTTTGATTGCGTTGATGCGGTCATTTGCAGCTGAGACAACGGCTGCGACATCGGCTGCGACGGCGGCACGGCTGCTTGTTCTTCTCCTGGCGTGGAAATATCTTGATTATCGGTGTTGACTTGATGATTAGGTATGGTGACTCGTGGCAGAGAAGCTGAAACGTTTGTCGGCATAGTTGGTTGTGAAGATGCTCTTGGTGGGGATCTTGAGACTAGAAGCTTGGGAATTGATGATGATGCTGCCTTGTTGAGAGGTGGTGATGGTTGGGGCTGGTTGGTGTTGTTGCTCGGTGTTGAAGATGGTGGTAACTGATGACGACCGAATCCGGGACGTGGGGGTGAAGTTGAGAAAGGTCTTGGGTGAAGAAGTGGACTATTGGAGCTGGTGTTGGTGGTGACTCGCTGAAGTGATCCTCATGCTATGAGCTGGCTTGACGTTGGAACAAGTGATGAACGTGTGGTAAGAGAACGAGGTGTTGCGGTGACGGTTGACTTGTTGCTAGGAAGAGTCGTAGATGGTGTTGATGTAGGTACTTGGGGTCTTGTAGCTGTTGATTGCTGCTGCATGGGATGATGATGAGCTTCTGTAGTTGCCTCCAGAGTGATGGCTGGTGATGGTTTTGATGGCGTAGTGGTGGGCTGATCCGGTTGGCGTTGAAATTGTGAGGTTGGTGTTGATATAGCTGGTTGGTTTGTGACAGTTGGCTGCTGCTCCTTTGGTGGTGATGGAACGGTGACTTGCTGCGGTGGATTGTCTTCATTTGATGGCTGAACTTCATCTCCACTTGGTTGAGTAGCTGCTGGTGGCACTGGCGTGGCACGGCTGGACTCGTTGACGACGGCTTGAGGGAGATCGATGATCGGTCCGCTATGGTCAGAATCGGTGTCATCTTCTTCCTCCTCTTGTGTTGTTTCCTCAGGTGCGCTTGCTGGTTCCTGCTGGATAGAGGGTAGAGAGGAGGAAGAGGAAAACTTATGCCAACCTGCAAGGGACATGTCTTCATAGAAGACAACATCCCTTGAAACCACTTCTCGCTTGGTGACAGGATCCCAAAGGACCCATCCCTTGCTCTCATTGCTCATGCCGATGAAGAGGCCCCAATGAGCTTTGCTATCCAGCTTGAGTCTCTTTGCATCTGGAACACGGTATTGGGCCATGGAACCAAAAACACGAAGCATAGACAGATCTGGTTTAACTCCAAACCAAGCCTCATATGGCGTTACACCATCCGGTAAGGGCCTTATGGGTATCCTGTTGCAAACATAAATTGCCATAGTGATTGCCTCACCCCACCAGAGCTTGTCAAGGCCTTTGAACTGAAGGAAAGTGGTAGCTATAGCCTGGATAGTGCGATGAAACCTCTCTGCCACTCCATTTTGCTGAGGACTATAGGGACAAGTGAACTGTTCTTTGATGCCCAATGCCAACAACTCCCCCTGAAACGCTTTCTTCATGTACTCACCTCCTCGATCCGACCTCAAGGTGAGTAACTTCTTCCCTGACTCTCTCTCAACAAGTTTAGCCATTGCTTGAAACACTTGTGAAGTTCATCCTTGGTGTTGATGAAAAAGGGCCACGAGAAACGACTCTTGTCATCAATGAACGACACCAATATCTCTTACCGTTTCGAGTAGGGTCTCGCATGGGGCCGAAGACATCAGTGTGGACCAACTCTAGGAGGTCCCTTGACTGAGACTTAGAAGGGAAGAATGGCTTTCTAGCTAGCTTACCTTCCACACAAGATGGACATGGAACGGAAGAAAGGGACTTGACTGCACTTTCACTCAAACTCAATCCTTCCACGCTCTTGTGATTTACCAACTCTTTCAATGCTTGCACTCCCAAGTGCCCCAAGCGTGCATGCCATAGCTCAGCTTGGGAGATACTCCCTTTGTTGTTGACTTGATCGGTTGAAACAGCGAGAAGCGAGACAACGTCGTTCTTCGTGTTGCTAGCACCGCGCTTAATCTCCAACTTCATCTTGTAGAGCCACCCGGTACGCTCGCCTTCAGCCACAAGATTTCCTGCACTGTCCCACACTTTGGCTTTCCCCCCTTGCAAGAGAACGAAGGCACCTTTCTCTTCGAGTTGTCCGGCTGAGAGCAAGTTTGCTCCCAAATCAGGAACAAACAAAGCTTTATTGACACAAAATGACTTACCATCCTTTTCGAACTCAAGCTTGCCGACTCCTTTGATTGGTACTTTTCCAAGATCAGCAAGAGTCACAGCTTTTGAGTCATATGAGGGCTGAAAATCCTTGAGAATGGACTGATAGGGAGTCATGGTTTCAGAGCAGCCACTATCAAGAATAAACTCTTCACTACTAGTAGAGAAAACGTGCATGCAAGTAGCAGCGTTAAAAAGGACAGGACCATCGGACTCTTTGGACTCATCTTGACTTGTAGAATGACTTGCTATATTTGCTATGGCTGCCTTACCTTTTTCAGATAGTAGGTGAGGTGGGGGGACCCAATTAGGAGGCTTCTTAGGACAAGCATACCACGGGTGACCCCACTCATGACAACAAAAACACTCAAAATTAAACTTTTTAGCATTCGGGGCTTGGCTGAAATTATTGACTCTTGGCGTATTGACTCTTGCATTCCTAGGCTGGTATTGATTGGGAATCGAAGGCCTTGGCTGGACATAGGGACTGGACTTATAGGGAGGACTTGACTGAGGAAAACGAGAGGGTTTGTATGGGTTGGAAGGTGACTGAAATTTCGTACCGTAGTAGGGTTGAGGGCGGTTTGGGCTGAAATTTCCTTACCTCTGGAATTGGTTGCCATATCTTGTGGCTGTTGCAGCACTCCACGCACCTTCGTCACTCCGCTTGTTCCGTGCAAGGTCTCGACTCTGCTGCTCGTTGACAAGGGCCTCAAGGATGAACGCACGACTCTTCATTGACTGCGGGAGCGCTTGTAGTGTTGCACGGAAAGTGTCCCACTCTGGAATCTCCAAGCCGATCGCTGCTGCTTCCTCCAACATTGCTTCAGCTCGTCGTAGGTAGGCTTGTGCTGATTCATCTTCTTCCATCTTCAGATTCATGAAGCGACTCCACATCTCGGCTTGGCTGCTCTCGGATTTTGACTGGTTCATAGTCTTCAGTCGGCTCCATGCTTCCTCTGCACGGTTTGCCTTGGTAGAACAGGGCACGAGCGACTTCAACTGCTGCTCGTGAATGCTATTGAGTAGGTAGAGGAAGGCCTCCTTGTTGCGTCGTTCGTAAAGTCGTTTTTCAGCTTTTGAAGCATCTGCTGCTGGTTTGGCTGCTTCTTTAGTGTAGTAAGGCCACAGATCCAAAAGGGATGCAGTGAGCTCAAACTGAGTTGTGACAAAATACTAGCGTGAGTTTGGCTTAGGAGCCATAGTTTAGGAGCCTTGGTAGTTGAGTTCGAGTTTAGGAAAAGTATCGAGAGGTTTTGGAAGGAGAGGAATGGGGTTTCATTAGCAAGAGTTGGGATACAAGTACAACACCCTAAATTGGGTTGTACTCATTACAGAGTACCCCACTGCAGGCTAGACAGCAAATACATTCTGACAAGTTGCCCATGTTGGAAAATCTTTGCCGTTGAACTTGGGGAGGTGAAGCTTAGGCATGAAGGAGGTGAGTGGTGAGTATGTTGTTGAAGGACTGCCTGGTGCAACTGCTTCCACTAATCCAGTAGCTGCTGATGTTGACTCTGAAGCTCCTCCGGCTGGCTGGAGTGCAGGACCAGATGGATTGTCTCCCGCCATGTTCGTATGGTGCTGAGATAGGAACGTGGTGGGCTAGGTTGATCGAAACGACGAGCTCTGATACCAACTTGTAAAACAGAGTAGCTGTGACTACTGGAGGGCTGGAAACTTGGCTGGAAAGTCTTAGCAGGGCTGCTGGAACCGACTGGATGAGGTCAAACTTCACTATGTTCAAGATGAACAAGCCCACTAAAGCACAACTCTATAGGCATCACAAACAAGACAGATTGAAAGCTCAAACTAAGCTGATAGACAATGTAACTTCCTTGGTAACTTGGGCACAATCTAGATTGGATGGACCTTGAGTGACTTTGAGTGCCACATGAGGTGCATGAATAAGAAAACTCTGGATATTTCTGTTATAGATGATTCTGATGTGTAGAAACTTGTAGAAACTGCCAACACTTCGGTTTGAAGGCAGCTTTGAACTGTATCGAGTCTTCGGCTGAAATCTGATCGGTGGTGGAACTTTCGAAGTACTTCCCGAAGCCTCTGATTCATCGCCGACATTCCCCCTTGCTGCTCCTTGTGTGCTAAGGGCTGGGGCGGCAGAAACTCGATTCTCCAACAACATCCACTCCCCATAAAATCCAGTGGCATGATATCAATATCGTACTCGCTCTAGTTTGTACATCCTGATGAAGCGACAGTAGTAGTCGGATTGATTGTTTTCCGCGGCTGCCATATATCCTCCGCCGTTCATTCTCGCTGTATCTATTTTCAAGAGAGTGTTTTGTTCTATAATATCTTCAACATCGTTTCCTTCTATTCTATTCTTTCTTCAGCATCGACCGATTCATTGTAACCATCCGTAGATGGAGGGCGACTGGGGAGACTTCCAATCAGGAGCCAGCGGCTTCCTCTCAGCGCAAAACGCGCCGTCATCTGCGGCGGCACCGGCGCAGGCTGAGGGGTCCAAAGCGCCGCTAGATCCGGAGCTCTCAGCGAGCGGCGCGGGGTCTAAGCATTCGTCAGACGCGGATTTGGCGGCGAGCGGAAAGTCTGCCGCGGAAAGTAGCGACTCGTTTTGGGGGGAGGGGGGAGAGCGGGGGCGGCGCGGATGCGGGAATGGACTTCTGGGGGGAGGTGCAGGCGTTAGGGGGAAGCGGGGAAGCGCAGGCGTTAGGGGGTACTGCGGAAGCGCAGGCGACAGATGGGGGAAGCGGGAATGACCATATGGGGCAAATGGCGCGGGGGGCGGAGACTCCGCTTTCTCCGGCTCCCGCATCCACCGTTGACCGGCGGTGGAGTTGCGCCGGCGGCAGCGGCTGCTGTAGCTGCCCCGCTAGCGGCACCGATGGTGGCACCAGTGGCGGCGTCCGCGGGAAGCGGATTAGGGTTAGATCATCCTGGGTTACCTGGGCTTCAGAGTGGGCCTTCTAGAGTTCAAACTGTCGCCAGCGCTGGTTACCACTCGTCGCCAATGACTGCAGGCGGTTCGCATGGACCCAGATCTCCCACGAAAGCTGATCCGCACCTTGCGTCGGATCCTCATTATAAGCATGATTCGACACAGCGACCAGGCGCGCATCATCCGAGCGGGTTCTCCGCTCACATGATGTCTTACTCGCACTCATCCCCGCTCCGCCCTCCGCGCCCCACGCGCTCGACGCGCACCAGCGGAAATCCCCACCCCCCCGCCGCCCGCCGGTGCTGCGCATCCGCCCTTCCGCGGACCAGCGCCAGCGCCTGGGTCTGCGCACTCCCCGCTCTCCGTGCGCGGCCCTCTCTCCGCCCCTCCCGTCTCTCACCCACAATCACACCCCCCCACCTCACACCCGCTACAATCACACCCGCCGTTTCTTCCCCCTCCTCCGCACTCCCCCCCGTCTCGCTCCTTACCCTCCCATCCCCCTCCCTCCTCACCCTCCCCCATCGCTTCCCCACCCCCTATCCCACCAGCCACAGTCACACCCGCCATCGTCACACCCGCCACAGTTACACCCGCCTCTATCGCGCCCCACTCACCCCCGCCCGGGTACAGACCTCCCCCACAAGGCCCCCCGGAACTGCCAAGCCGGCCAGCGGGGCAACCGGGGGAGCAGCAGGGGGGGCAGCGGGGGGGCCAGCAGCGGGGGGAAGGGGAGGGGTGGGTGCAGCGGGAGGGGCGTTAATGTCAGGCTCAGGCGCTCCTTCTGCTGCCAACACCACTGCTACCACCACCACCACCACCACCACCACCACCACCACCACCACTACTAGCAGCAGCACCACCACCACCGCCATTGGTGCCGCTAACATCAGCACCGCTAGCAGCAGCAGCAGCAGCAGTGCGTTTGCAGCGCGCTCATCCCCGCCGGTCAGCTTTCGCCGCATGTCCAGCCTTGACGTCAAGACCTCTTTGGATGGCCTCGCTGTGCTCGCTGTAAGCTGTGCTCGCTGTAAGCTGTGCTCGCTGTAAGCTGTGCTCGCTGTAAGCTGTGCTCGCTGTAAGCTGTGCTCGCTGTAAGCTGTGCTCGCTGTAAGCTGTGCTCGCTGTAAGCTGTGCTCGCTGTAAGCTGTGCTCGCTGTAAGCTGTGCTCGCTGTAAGCTGTGCTCGCTGTAAGCTGTGCTCGCTGTAAGCTGTACTCGCTGTAAGCTGTACTCGCTGTAAGCTGGTATTTCCCATGAACTACCAGAGGCAAGCAAGGCCCATACCAGCTCGACTTTCCCTTTCCTGCATTGCCTACATATATGTTTGTTCTGTATATTCCATTTCACCAACCAGCGGCAGGGCTCGTGGCGGGCAATAGTGGACAAGGTGGTGGAGGGGTACAAGCTGGCAGGGCATGGTTTCTACAGCCTTGGCTCCACCAACTCGGCTCTTCCCTTGCTGCATTGCATTTGCCATTTGTTCACTATGCTTACACCAGCGGCAGGGCTCGTGGCGGGCCATAGTGGACAAGGTGGTGGAGGGTTACAAGCTCGCGGGGCTGGCGCAGCAGCTGGCGTTACGCGGTTACCACTTGCTGGCGCTGATGAAGCTGCGCATGTATGGGGCAAGCAGCAGAGGAGCTCACACTGTTAGGGAACCTTGACTCACCGCAGTACCGATACGAGGCACACCCGGGCATGTATCCTGGGAGGAAAGGTGGGTGAGAGGAATCCTATGTGGTGGGATTGCTGCAAGGCGCGGCGTAGCTCATGCTGCTGGGAAACTTCGACTCGCTGCTGTACCGATACGAGGCACACCCTGGCATGTATCCTGGGCGCAAAGGTAGGTACTCGGGTCAGGTTACATGGTTACCACGTGCTGGCGCTGATGAAGCTGCGCATGTATGGTGCAGGTGCAGAGGAGGCAAGGTGAGTGTGCGCTTTGACCCGCTGTTGTTGTGGTGTTGGGTCAACTCTGCTCAGCAACCTCAACTCAACTCGCCGCAGTACCACTAAGAGGTACACCCGGGCATGTACCCCCGGAGGAAAGGTGGGTGCCTGGGCTTTCCTCCTGGGATTTTCCCTGTGCGAGAAGTTGGGCTTTCTTTTTCCGCGCGAAATGCGATTCCTCAGCCCCACCCCGTTTACCCTGCTGCTGCTTTTCCCCTGCACTTCAGGCTCCATGCTGCCCTTTGCGCTGCGCTGGTTGGCAGCAGCGCTTATCGCAGGCAACCCAATCTCTCAGCCCCATCCGTTTCACCCGTGCTGCTTCGGTTCAGTATCCCCGCCTGCAGGCTCCATGCTGCCCTTCGCCCTGCGCTGGCTCGCAGCAGAGCTGCCCCACCGCATGGGCAATGCGTGTGTCTCCTCTCCGTTCTCCTTCCCAACCTCAATCTCTCCAATCTGCGCCATCCTCACATCCCCCCCGTTGCAGGGCTCCATGCTGCCCTTCGCCCTGCGCTGGCTCGCAGCAGAGCTGCCCCACCGCATGGGCAACCCCGCACTCACCTTGGAAACGACTGTGTGCTCTGCAGGCGTACTGCACAGCTAAGGTGGGTGCAGTGCGATGGAGTCAGGTTTGTGTTGTGTCTCTCAAAACTGCCTCACCGCATGGGCAATCTGGCCCTCACATTGGAGCCCTCACTATGTGCTTCTGCAGGCACACTGCACAGCTAAGGTGGGTGCAGTGCGGTGCGGTGGGGCCATGGTTTAGCACATTGCATTTTTGCACTCTGCATCTTGCATCGCACATCCCATTTTGCATTCTGCATCTTGCATTGCACATTGCATTTTGCATTCTGCATCTTGCATTTTGCCTCCGTCTTCCAGAAATACCTCCCTGCGTTCCTCAATCCGTCTGTGCCTTGCTGCGTGGATGACAGATGAAGGAGGTTCAGGCAAAAATGGCAGGAGACAGCAAGGGCAAACAGGGGAGAGCAGCACCTGCAGATAGCAGCAACAGCAGCAGCAGCACGAGCAAGAGCACGGGCGCCAGTGCCGAGAGAAGGGATGGCAGATGTGATGGCCCCAGAGGATGGTGAGGGCGTGTCTTCTCATGCTAGGCCCACTGACGTGCCCACTAGCTCAACCCTTACCCAGCAGCAGCAGCAGCAGCAGCACTAAGAGCACATCACCAGCAGCAGCATCTTCAGCATCATCGCAGCATGCTGCGTGGTGGCGTGTTGGGCGCGCAGGCGGCAGGCAGTGCGGCACGCGCTCGGTATCCACCACCTGGCGCAGCGAGACTACCCCACTGCACTCCTCTGGCTGCAGCGCCTCCTGCGCTACGAGCCGAGCAACGCTGCCCTGCTCTCGCGGTACGGCCTCGTTCGGCTGCAGCTGGGGGACGTGGAGGGCGCAAGCGCTGCGTTCGGATTGGTGGAGAAAATGGTGGTGCATCGCGAGGTGGAGATGGAGAGTGAGGGGGGGGGTGGGGGAGGAGGGGGGGAGGGGGCGGGGGAGGGGGAGGGAGGAGGGGAGGCAACAGGAGATGCGAGTAACACAGCAGGAGCCGGAGCGGGAGCAGGAGGGGCAGGAGCAGGAGCAACAGGAGCAGGAGCAACGGGAGCAGGAGGGAGCGATGGGGGTGTGGGGGCAGGGCGGGTGACAGCAGCGAATCTGGGCGAGATGAAGAGGCTGGTGCGGCCTGAACAAAGCTCTCGTGCACTTTGCTCGCAAGGAGCATGGGCAGGCGCTGCAGCTGTTCTCTGCGGTCACTAAAGAGGATCCCACCAACTCCATTGCTGCAAATAACAAGGTGAGGGGATGTGGTAACCAGGTTACATATTGGGTGGGTAGCCAGGTGATTGTAAGGCACTTTGCTTGCAAAGAGCATGGGCAGGCGCTTCAGCTGTTACTGCGGTGTCTAAAGAGGATCCACCAGTTCCATTGCTGCGAATAACAAGGTGAGACAAGGTGGTAACCCTGTTACATGGTGAGAGCGCCAGGGATTCAGTCATTTCAGAAGGCACCTTGCTCGCAAGGAGCACGGGGCGCTGCAGCTGTTTACTTGCGGTGGCTAAAGAGGATCCCATTGCTGCGAATAACAAGGTGAGTCATCTGGGGGAGTTGACGTGCATGGTGCGGGTGAACAAGACTCTCGTGCAATTTGCATGGCGCATGGTGCACTTTGCACGCAAGGAGGCAGGTTCTGTGCTGTGTGTCGTGTGCTGTGTGCTGTGTTGTACAGGTGATGTGGTAACTAAGTTACATCCGATGTAACCCTATTGTGCTGCATTTCACGTGTGTTCCACGTACCATTTCATATATGTCCGTTCGCCTGTTTCTCCTCCTATCCCCACAACCCTGCCAATCAGGCCCTCTGCCTGATGTACGGCCGAGATCTCGCGACTGCGGTGCGGGGCTGGAGGACCAATTGCAGGCGAGCCCGCTGACAGCTGTCGACGAGACAGTGGTGCTCAACCTGTGCTCCATGTACGAGCTGGCGGCGTCTGATACGCTCAATTGCCAAGAGCACGCTCAGCAACTGGCTCACTCGTTTGGCTCCTGACGGACTTTGACTTTGCCTGCACTCGGCTGTAGCGGGACTTACGTTCATCTCAAAATCACAGTGCATGCTCAACAACTGGCTCACGCGGGCTCGCTTCTGACGACTTAGACTTCGCCTGCAGGAAAGGGAGGCGCGTACTCCGCTGTGGTGGAGGGGCAGTGACCGAGACAGTGGTGCCTGCACCTGAAACCTGCAGGAAGGGGGCTAGCCCAGCAACTGGGTGTGGTGCAGGAAGGTACTAGAGAATGAATTCGCCTGCACTCGGCTGTAGGAGAGGGGAGCTGTGCAGTACAGGGTATGGAGTTGGGGAGGGGAAGGGGAGTGAGGAAGTGGGTGTGTAAATAACCTCAAGTCACTCTCCATACTTGGGTGTGTGAGGAAGTGAGGAAGTGGGGTGTGTGAGGAAGTGGGTGTGTGGGGTCAGCACTCCACAGCACAGCACAACACACAACGGGGCACACAACAGTGCACAGCACACAGCACAGCAAACAGAACAGTCGACAGTACAGCATTTCCTTACATCTCAGCTCGCAGCACAGCACAGCACAATGGAAAGCAATCTTTGACACTTGCGCACGCTGTTTTCGTATTGATGGGTAGGGACTCTCTGTTGGTGATGCCTCTGCAACACAAGTAGCAATGTCCCATGTCAGAGGGAATTAGCCTCTCTTGCATGTTGCCTCTGTTGGTTTGCATGGAATAATCATCTGAATGGTGGAGATCCTTATACAGTACTGTTATGTAAGCTATTCTGTTTAGCTGCTACATTGCACCATATGCTTCCCTGCTGCATGTTGAACTACCTACTTTCAAAGGTCCACCCTGGGATGTAGTTGTCTGATTGAGCATCTAGCCAGACCTATAATTAATTAGGCAACTAGATATATCAAAAATTTTGCGGATGCGCCATGGTCTTCGGTCTTCCGGGTCCCTCTTGGCCACTAGGGGGTTAACCCTAGTGTTACACCCACACACCACGTTGAGGTTCTTGGGCTGAGTGCCCCTTAGGATCTCTGGTAGGGTTAAACTCTGAGTAGAGTGATGTAGTAGCGGAAGCGTTTAAATGAAGTCCTTGAATCACCTTGCGCTGGTATGTGAGGGCAAAGTAAGTTGTTTAAAACAAGCAAGTACTAAGGTTTATATAAGAGTACAAAGAATACGAAGAGATATAATTAAACTGTTTTACTGTTGCGGTTCGATACAGTGCGACTCGGGCAACTGCTCAATGTCGAGTCAGTTGTGTGTCCTTGCTGTCTCGCTGCATTTGTCAAGTCAAAGGTCGCTGACCTTTGACTTTCGCGTAACCTCCAGCGGTTACTTCAACCTCCGAGGGTTGACTCGCTGGTGCCTCGATATGCTCTGCTTCGCTTGTGCCTTGGTGTTTCGACACTACAGAGGCGCTTAAGATTGTTTGTTCCCAACGCTCCCCTTCGCTTTCTGGAGTGTCGTTGCTGGTGACGTGGCTTTGTCCAGTCAGCAGCATGCAGTACTCGAACTTCTGTTTTCCGAGCTTCTTGGTCAAGTAGTCAGCTGCCATCTCGGACGTGGGACAGTAGGATAGTTCAAGTCTCCCCTTCTCAATCTCGTCTTTCACGAAGAAATATCGCAGAGCGGTATGCTTCGTTCTGTTCGCGAATCCATTTTTGTTGGCGATGCGAATTGCAGATTGGTTGTCGCAGAACAGAGTGAAGTTGGGTAACTCGGCTAACTTCGCTTGTTCCAGCAACTCGCGAAGATAGAGTCCTTCCTTGGTGGCTGAGCAGAGTGCAATATATTCTGCTTCAGTTGACGAGAGAGCAATAAATTCCTGCTTGCTCGATTGCCAGGAGATCGGTCCGATAGGTTCGAGGCGGTAGATGTAGCCAGTGCGGGAGCGCCTATTGTCTGAGTCGCCAGCGTGATCAGCGTCGACGTAGCCGATTAATTTAGTCGGTGTGGTTGTGTTCTTGTAGTAGGTTAGGCCGATCGTTGAGGTACTGACGAAGTAGTGGAGAGCGCGGTCGAGCTCCGCCAGGTGTTCTGCTTCAGGCTTCTTGAGGTAAGTAGCGAGCTGGCTGCGGAGTAGGATAGATCTGGGCGGCAGGTGACAGCTGCGAAGAGAAGGCAGCCAGCTTTCTCTGGTAGTCGCGTTTCCCGGCGGATTTGAGTAGAGGGGATCCTTCTTTGTGGTTTCCTGTCGCGTAGCGGTAGGGCGTAGAGATGGTGGTAGGTGTGAGCACGAAGCGTTTGGCGATGGTGTCGGCGTACTTAGCGGCGTTGAGGTAGATCGCGCCTTCTTCTTCCCGAATGTTTAAGCCGAGGTACTGTGTGACGGTAGAGGAGACCGTGAGTGTGAGGTCCCTCTGTAGCTCCCCTTCGAACCAGGTGGTGATGTCATCTATGGATCCGATGTAGAGTAGGCCGTCTACGTAGACAATCAGCAGAATGTAGTCGGTGTCTTTAGTGAGTCGGTACATTCCTTGGTCGTGAGGTAGTTGGCGGAATCCGATGCGAATGAGGCGAGCGTGTAGGTACTGTTGCCATAGCCGCGGAGCTTGCTTGATCCCGTAAAGTGATTTCAGCAGTTGACAGACTTGGTTAGGTTCCCCGTTGGTACCGTGTGGGAGCTCGACGAAGATTTCCGCGTCGACAGGTGCGTAGAGGAACGCGTTGGCGACATCGATTTGCCGTAGCTTCCTTTTCTTCATGGCGGCGATCGCGAGGAGGATTCGAAGTAAGGTATGTCGGCTAACCGGGGCGAATGTCTCGGTGAAGTCCCGTCCGTGCTCCTGATCGAATCCACGCACAACCCAGCGTGCTTTGAACTTCTCAATTGTGCCGTCTGCTTTTGTTTTTAACGCGGAAGACCCATTTCCCAGTGAGAATGGTCTTGTTCCTTGCCACGCTGATGAGGACAACTTTCCAGGTGTTCCGTTCCTCCAGCGCCTTTAACTCTCTGTCCATGGCTTCACGCCATTTTTCCCCGTGTTCCCCCCCCAGAGCTTGCTGAACCGTCGTAGGCTCCTTAGGAAGAGTGTTGTCGTGGACTGCGGTGACGAGTCCGAGAATCTGTAGTCCATTCTGTGAGTAGCGGGGAAGAGTTGCATCCTCGGGATAAGCGGCTTCATCTCCCGCTTCTGGATCAGGTATGAAATTCGGTCCTACTTGTTCTGCTTCGTTGGTGTTGACTGTCGCAGGTGTTACGTAACCGTTGTCGGCGAAGTAGTAGAAGGTTTCGGCGTTGACACTTTCGCGAGGGTTATCTTCGTCCATGGGGACGTCGACGGAGCAGAACGGAAGGGGTCCAGCTTCTTCTGATGCGTTGGCCACATTTTGCTCGTCCCAGTCAGCTTCGTCCGCTGTTGAGGCGAAGGCTCGGTCACCACGAAAACCACCTGTGGGATCTTGGTCCTTTTGCAGGTTGGCAAGGTATGTCTGGAGCGTGAGTCGTTCGTAGAAAATGACGTCGCGTGCTGCTACTGTTTCCTTGGAGTGGACGTCAAAGATTTTCCACGCGTTGTAGTCTTTTCGATGTCGAGGTGTAGTCCCCACAGTGCGCGTTGAGAAAATCGGCCCGCTCGTGCTGCTGGGGGTCGGTACTGTACCATGCATCCGAAAACTCGTAACATTTTTGTGCTGCCCTGTTTCCCTGTCCATAGCAGATGCGGTGATGCGTTGTTCGGAAGCGATGATGACGACAGCAAGTTGTGCAGCATGACGGCGTGGTCCATTGCTGCAGGCCACTGGTGGTTGGGTAGCCGCATGCCACGTAACAGTTTGCGCATGCTGTTCTGCAGAGTCCTGTTCATTCTTTCTGCTACACCTTGCTGCTGATGGGCGTAGGGAAGAGATAGGAGCTGCTTGATTCCCCTTTCCGCCAGGTACTGCTTGAATCGCTGAGAGGTGTATTCTCCTCCTCCGTCAGACTGGAAGCTTTTCAGCTTTACGCCCGACTCTCTTTCTGCTACTGGTAGCGAAGCAGCGAATGCTTCGAGGACCATGTTGCGGCTGGGTTAGGTTTTAGATGCCAGACGTAACGGGTGGC